TGGGCTTGGCCCTTTAGTTCCAGTGAAGAAAACTCTTAAGGCATCAGCTTACCAATACATTTTGGACAATTTCATGCTCCCAACCTTTTGGAACAGTTTGGGAATAGCCCCTTCCTGTTCCAACATGACTGCGCACCAGTGCACAAAGCAAAGTCCATAAAGACATGGACACGCAAGTTTGAGGTGGAGGAACTTGATTGGACTGCACAGAGTCCTGACCTCAACTCGATAGAACACCTTTGTGATGAATTAGAGTAGAGACTGTGAGCCAGGCCTTCTTGTCCAACATCAGTGCCTGACCTCACAAATGCCCTTCTGGAAGAATGGTCAAACATTCCCATAAGCACACTCCTAAACCTTGTGGACACCCTTCCCAGAAGAGTTGAAGCTGTTATAGAGGGTGGGCCAACTCAATATTGAACCCTACGGACTAAGACTGGGATGTAATTTACTGTTCATGTGTGTGTAAAGACAAGTGTCCCAATACTTTTGGCAATATAGTGTAGTCATATTTTTTTCATTCATCCTGCTGGCATAACTAACAGATTTCTCCATTCACAGATGGATGCAGGAATCCCCTCAGTTGGGACATTGTATTCTCACAGTGGTTCCTACTGCTGTCAGCATACATTTATTAGCAGTCAGCTTTTTATACAAAAACAGGGTGTTTTATTGTAAAAGGAAAATACAAAAACATTACAACCGATATGCAATGCAAACATTTGACATGGAAGTTATAGTGCAATTAAGATGAGCATTAACAATATATTGCACAACATCCAATGTAGGACAAAAGGAAAGGAGAAGCAAAACAAACTGCATACATCATGGAAAATAAGTCTAATATTGCCTAATCAGAGGCCGTGTGAGGGAAAAACCCAAGGGTATAAGGAGCAGGAAACAGATATCTGCAGAAGTAGAGGAAAAGAAGAGGGGGAGGGGAAAAGGGGGGTGTACCCCCAGAGCTGACACTCTATATGTTTGAATACAGAATAATGTAGTGATGCTAGCTCCATCCCTTCCCCCCCCCCATTATATAACCTGCGAGTGGTGCTGACGCTGCTTCGCTCCCTCCTCCTCCCCTCTTGGGCGGTGCTGTCAGTTGGCGGTGCAGAGCAGTCAGTGTTAGGCTGGTGGGGTCCCAGGATGGAGAACCTGGTTTGGGCTGTGCTCTAACTGTGGGAACTGACCAGCATCGTGCTGAACCATCTGAGCCTCACCCACACCCAGTGGCAGCGGATCAATCTGTCTTCTGCTGGCTGCCACATGTGTCCCTTTTCCAAGGGGTGGTGCCACCCACCTGAAAATTGCCACCAAAGGCAAATGTCTTGTTTGCCGTGCGGTAAATACACCCCTGCTTATGAAGCAGTGCAATTTTCATATTTGCAATACAGGCGTATAATTTAGCAATATCTTATGACAACAAATTAATACATATAGCTTTTTAAGGTACAAACATATTTACATGGTTGGTAAGATTGAATAAAGACTGAAGTCCATCTAGTTCAACCTGTGTGGGTGTGTACATGATTTTGTCAATATCATTTCACATATCTTTGTACATTGCACTCACTAAGATGAACATCTAAGAGTTTTTTTAATTATTGACACTTCCCGCTGACAACACTGATTGTGGAAGGAAGTTCCACATTCTTACCGCTTCAACAGTAAAGAACCCCCTAAACAATTTAAGGGAGGGATGCCTGTAGTCATCCCTCATCACTGAGGCACTGAGGTCCTCAGAACTTCAGAACTTTGTTGTGCACTCCCGTGATGTGTATTCACCTGACAACAGGCTTTAGCTGACATCACCGTGCTAGTTCAGGCTCTGGAGAGATCCCAACTTTAAAGTCGGGATCCACCTGGATGCCCAATCGGCAATTGGCTCAGCCTCTTAGCATGCTGCGGAGAGCATGAACCAGCCTCTACCCCCCCCCCACTACAGTACAACCAGGGGCGGACTGACAACTCATGGGGCCCCCGGGCAATAGGGGATCATGGGGCCCCTGTGTCCTTGCCCAAACTCAAAAAAACCTATGAAAAAGGTACCAGGGGCATCTCAAGAGGCCCCCTACTGACCCCGGGCCCTCGGGCAATGCCCGAGTTACCAAATGGTCAGTCCGCCCCTGAGTACCACACTTCAGTGAGCTCTGGAGGGGCAGAGCAGAGAGCCAGACACTGACAGTCACAGGCTCTCTGCTTACTGAAGACTGAGAACTGAGCACACAGTGGTCTTTGATCGCTCAGTTCTCAGGGCAGGGGTGGCAGGGGACAGGATCTGCCTAGGTGAGTATGAATGTTTTTTTTTCATATCTTTTGTTTTAATTTATCTATTCCTATATATGCTCCAATATTGAGATTCTGTAATATTAGAGTTAGGACGGCACTTTACAGAGAAACCTTGATAAGGCAGTGCAGCTTTTACATAAAACTTTTGTTTTTAACAAAAATTGATAGACAGTGATTGTTTTTTTTTCTTGCAGGCTAGTGGATAAGTCTACTGGAAAAAAAAAAATTTCTTGTATGATTGTATTATGCAAAAAATGGAGGCCAGTGTATTTCCATCAGCAAAAGGATGGGTATTTCACCAACAGACCTTTGGACAGAATGTAAACTATACAAACTATACTGAAAATATTCCTGCAGACAAACACTGATATAATAAGACAAAATGCCTAAAAAAATGCCCATATGATTCTTTTGTTCAGTGTAAAAAATATATAACTATGTATTTGATCGCATTTATATAACGTATGTATTTTGGCTTTTACAAGTATTGGTCCTGACGAAGCTGAGTGAGATACGCCCATCGGCGAAACGCGTTGACGTCATACGTCAGATACGTCACTTCCGGTCATGCGCACTAGGTGGAACGCACGCTGACCCATAGGGAGGAAGCCATCTTCACAAGCCATGAGGCAAGCTTAAGCAGCACAAGCGCCGAGAAGGGGCTGGAACCCGCGGTATATCGGCGGATGTCAGCGGTGGTTCCTTGGCCGCCTTGGCCCTGTATGGCAGTACCTATGAAGGACTTTTCTTTCATTCCTGTTATCCATAGCACAGGTGGTGAGTGGATCGTTACAGGACATTAGATATATGGTCCTCTGTGATCTATATGACCTATATATCTTCCATAGAGTGTTAGCTCTGTCAGTGACTTTCCACATATTGTTTGTTTCACTACAGGATGGGGACATCATGGTGCTATGTATAGGAAACAAGATATACCATCATATATATCTCAACAGGCAGAAGAGTCTTTGGGATGTGTCGTATCTTTTCCTACAAAAAGTGGTGTATAGTCCACATGCAGTGGTGAAGAAACCATTTCAAGCAGAATGCTGCTGTGTGCATCTTTTCCTCCATCCTGGAAATAAATGGGGCATATTCCCATCTAAGAGCTTTAGGAAACAGCTATCTATATTACAGATGAATGGGCCCCAACCACTTGTGCCGGCACAGGAATGTATTGTATAATATATTTGACATTTATGTCTTTCTTCATACAGGCCTGAGGCCTGTTACTCTCCTTTTTGACGCATATTGTGCTTGCTCTATTGCATACATGTGATATACACATTATAGCATAATTTTTGGATTCCTTGATAGGGATTTGCCATAATGGTTACTGCTTAATCCCTTATATCCTCTATTTTGGTATGCCCATGGCATAATTTTTGGATACACCTCCCTAGGGAAGTGTTCACCTATGTGTTTGTGCTACAGGGACACTAGACTCATGTAGCCATTTTCCCTGCTGTACACACACATTTAGACCGGTTCTGGTGTCATTTTAAATGGTTTTAGGTCTGTGTGTATTGTCTCATACTGAGGTGATGGTAAACCAGGGCAAATGCCCATATGTCATATCTATATATGTGTAATAAAGCATAATTTTTGGAAATTATTTCCTGAGTGTCACGTTCTGTTCATTATGTAGCCGCTTTTCTGTGAATCTCTTTTCACAACCCTCTTTTTTTGTATGCCTCTTTTGGCTACTGAATGGAGACCATACATTGGGTGACACGCTAATTTATCCAATAACCTCTTAAATAATTATCTTAGTATATGCATCTCAAGAGGCCCCCTACTGACCCCGGGCCCTCGGGCAATGCCCGAGTTACCAAATGGTCAGTCCGCCCCTGAGTACCACACTTCAGTGAGCTCTGGAGGGGCAGAGCAGAGAGCCAGACACTGACAGTCACAGGCTCTCTGCTTACTGAAGACTGAGAACTGAGCACACAGTGGTCTTTGATCGCTCAGTTCTCAGGGCAGGGGTGCAGGGGACAGGATCTGCCTAGGTGAGTATGAATGTTTTTTTTTTCATATCTTTTGTTTTAATTTATCTATTCCTATATATGCTCCAATATTGAGATTCTGTAATATTAGAGTTAGGACGGCACTTTACAGAGAAACCTTGATAAGGCAGTGCAGCTTTTACATAAAACTTTTGTTTTTAACAAAAATTGATAGACAGTGATTGTTTTTTTTTCTTGCAGGCTAGTGGATAAGTCTACTGGAAAAAAAAAAAATTTTCTTGTATGATTGTATTATGCAAAAAATGGAGGCCAGTGTATTTCCATCAGCAAAAGGATGGGTATTTCACCAACAGACCTTTGGACAGAATGTAAACTATACAAACTATACTGAAAATATTCCTGCAGACAAACACTGATATAATAAGACAAAATGCCTAAAAAAATGCCCATATGATTCTTTTGTTCAGTGTAAAAAATATATAACTATGTATTTGATCGCATTTATATAACGTATGTATTTTGGCTTTTAAAAGTACTATTGCTTTTCCATAGAATACATAAGCTTTCACGATACAATTCTCTTATTTTCTACGATTGTTGCACAATATCTTCACTTGGAATGTATATACATGATATTTATCACATTCTAGCACTGCCTTCTGCAGCCAACCCATGAGATCATATGACTGCTTTGTGAGACACAAAGGAAGTTGCTGGGTTTGACAATAAGGAACTAGAAAGCAGCTGTACATTGTACTAGGACACAGAAAACAAAGAGGTAGGGTGAAAGTAGCAAAATCTGACATTCAGAACAGTGGAAGTCGTAGAAGAGCCATGAACTTCATCCCCAGCTTCTCTTCAGAGACATGGATCCTAATAGCTTTATTTTGGGTTCTCTTTTTAATGTGAGTATAATATAGTCTGACACTGTGTACAATATACACACTAGCATGGCATACGTACAAGGAGCATGATTTTGTTTCAACAATATGTGTATAAACACGAGACCACATGCTTCCTATACAGATACAGGTTTACCTAACATGGCCTGTGTGTTTTATAACTTAAAGTAGATGTTGGGCAAATACATTTCTCATAATGACGTGATTTCTTAAATTAGGTAACAAAGTTCAGGAATTAAAAGCGACTTGTGACCTGTCTTGCAGGCTTCTATTGCATTATATTGAATGGAATGGAAGAATGAAAGATGTGTTGCTATAAAAGGGTATGTAATAATGACATGTAGAAACACTGGGCTATTTCACAGTCACGGGGCCTGGGGAAAAAAAATGTTGGATAGCTGATGTGTTGCTAGGTATTCACTATATCTACTTCCTGACACAACTACTGTATACATTGCTAGGCTGAAAAGAAATGCATGTGTTCCCAGGTTACTTATAATATGCATTGGCTGTTATGAGCTGCATAGTGTCTGGAACACAGATTCAAGAATAACAGCATTTTATTTCTGGGTAAGGGTACAGCTATGCCCCTTATGTCTTTTTACATGCGCCAGTCTTGATTGCTAAGGCATTTAATAAGGTATTTGAATAACCTTAGAGGTGACTGGCAGTGCATGTGCCTTCTCTAGAAGAAGTGGGCAAAACATGACAAATGCCCCATCAGAATGGACCAACACTGGGGAGACATATTTGGAGGACTTCAACAATGCATTTCCAGTGGTGTGAATGTAGTCACAAGCTTTGTGTGAAATTCACAAAACCTGTGCAACATTTTGAATTTTGTGTGTGACAAATTCACGTAGTTCTTCATTGTGACACCTTTACTGTCTGTCCCTATTTTGGCGACAAATTCATAAAAATTCAGATTCATGAAAGATTCAATTTCAGTGAAATTTATAGAGTGTAGAAAATACTCATTAATGAAACAGATGTTACAACTTGCAACATATTTGTGTACATGTCCATAAATTGTATATGTAGGAATATGGAGGCTCTCAAAATTTATAGAGTTAGGACTGCAGAAAATACCGGGGTGACGTGAAGAGGATCTACAGCTTACGCATGTATTTGTAAATGTGTGCAAATTAAACCCTTGTTTTTAATGTGAACTGTTAGACAGGATAATACGGTTGGTTGCAAGCTGGCTGGTAAGTTTAGCAGGGAATTTTTCTTTGTTGTTGTATGACGTGTCGCCCTTCCATGTGCTCCTTACTGCAAAGGCCAGTTATAAATTGGGGCAGCTACCATTTTTTTTGTACTATTGATATACTGGTGAGGAGCACACTGGACACTTTAGCTGCCATTGTGTTAGATGCTGGATGTCCAGTGTGCCCCGTGCCTTTAAGGAGAGGTGGGCCCCCTCCAGGCTCACCTACCCTCAGTCTATCTATTATTATGCATGTGCTTCTTCTATGGAGGCTCTCAAAATTTATAGAGTTAGGACTGCAGAAAATACCTGGTGGCTGTGAAGAGGCTCTGCAGCTTACGCATGTATTTTCAAATGTGTGCAGACTAAACCCGTTTTTTAACAAGAACTCTTAGGATAATTTGGTTGGTTGCAGGCTGGCTGGTAAGTTGAGCTGGGAATTTTTCTTTGTTGTTTGACATACAGCCAATACTAGGACTTTTATATGAATATGGAATAGTAAAAGTAGATAAACATATCAAAACCTGAAAACAAAAATGTTTTACAGCCCTTAGATGTGGTGGCTGCATTTGTTTTAATTTTTCAGCTTAAATGCTTTTAGCAGATACAAATACTTGTTGCTCTTGTAGGAATGGTAGTGTCCTTGTCTCATTCTGTGAGCTGCAAAAGAAAGCACAAACATCCTTATCTTGTGGGAGCTACTAGTCTCATCAAACAACCTTGTAAGGAGATTAGCAAAGGCAGATATGTTTAAAGTCCAGTCTGTGTGAAAACCATGATTCCTTCTATAGACACAGTGGAGAGATGAGTGTATATATGACAGGACAGGAAGTGTGTTATTTGCATTATTAGCTGATAAAAATAAAGATAACAAAAAGTCGGGAAAAAAAGAAAAGGAATGCAGCCACCACATCCAAAGACTAGAATGCTGATTACATCATTTTTGGGGGTTTTATATATGCTTTAATGTTAGCTAAACTATGAATATCTATGCTAGATTTTGGCATTTTGCAATAGTAATACAAACTGACGCTAAATAGTTTTTGTTTTTGTAGTATTATATATACAGTGTGTGTGTGTATATGTACTGTATGTATGTGTGTGTGTATATATATATATATATATATTTTTTTTTTTTTTATGTGTGTATGTTTTGACATGGGAAATGTTTAGCTCTCATGGTAGATGTAGGTGTCTTCTTATAAAGTGAGTTCACTTCTTCAGTCTAAACTGTGCTTAAGGGCCTGGTAGCCCACTTTTATTAAAAAGGGAAAAGCAAAGCAAACGTTCAACACCAATGGATTGCCTACGCAAGGGTTCCAGCTTCACATAACACAGTATCAACTAAAATGTTGAGCCACCTGGTTCTTCAGTCAGCAGAACCACTGTCCCCTACCATGGGCTCCATAGACTCGCTCAGTCTGTTTTTGCAGTACATCACTGCACAGGCCCCACTCCTGGCCTCACTTGATACCTTGCATCTCAAGCTCCTCCATTTCACAGGGCCACATGGTTTCCCTTGGTCTTCTCTGTGGACTTGCTAGTCACTTCAGCGTTCTCAGTCTCTCCGAGCCCACGTAGCTATCCTGACTTTCCCAGTCCTATGGGGAAGAACTCCACCCAACATAGGGTTTTGTCACTAGAATGTCACCCTTCTTGGCTGGAGCATGGTGCTATCTCTACACGCTGGCTCTCTTTCCAAGTGGTAGCAACTGCCCTGAGCTATGCTCAGATTTGGCTTATAACTATCCTGCATACCTGTGCACTCACAAAGGCTGCCAGCAACTAGCAAAGTTCAGACACAGGATTAAAAGTTCCTTTCTACCCAAGGCACTTTGGAACCTTCAAACTCTAGGCCCCAATCTGGAATTACAAAACCAGGAGAAAAGGAGAAAGCTTACAGAGTTGGAGAGAAAGCCAGAGTGTGGAGACAGTGGAGTGCTCCAGCCAGGAGAGATGTCATTCTTAGGAGAAAAGATCCTATGTTGGGGAGGACTTCTTGCCCATAGAAGTGGAAATGTCAGGACAGCTATGTGGGTCTGGAGAGAACAAGAAAGCTGTTCAAGAAATGAGTCCACAGAGAAGACTGAAAAGTCATGTGTTCCTTAGAAGTGGGCGAGCCTGGGGTGCAAGGAGAACCCTATCCATGAGGTCAGGATGGGGCCTGTGCAGTTAAGTACTGCAAACACAGATTGAGGAGCCCATGGTTGGGGAGACTAAGGTGAGCAGCACTTCTTCTGACTGATGAGCCAGGTGGCTTGACATTTTTGGTTAATACAGTTTTATGTGGAGTTGAAACCCCTGTGTGGGCAACCCGTTGGTGTTGGAATTTTGCTTTGCTTTTTCCTTTCTAATAAACACATTTAAACACTTTTGGACTGAAGTGAACTCACTTTACAAACACATCTACCATCAGAGCTAAACATATCACAAGTAGTGGAGAATGCAGACAGGGTCTCACACTTTCATTTATTTTTATTATTTATTATATATATATATATATATATATATATGTGTGTGTGTATTATTTGTATATAAGTATATAATATATTTTTTATTTCTACTCAGTTACGGTGTATGGCCATATGGAATATTTAAGAAGCTGGGAGTTCCAGGCCCCTTTCCAGTTCCATTTATTGGAACATTTCTTGGATATAGAAAAGTAAGTTTGTGATTTTATCAGAGACCCCAAATTCCCAATCTTTGTCTACCTATCACATTTGCTGGTATAAAAAGATATGAAAAAAAAAAACACCTGGCTGATAATATTTATTGGCATGCATGTTTAGGCAATAGATTACACATAGAAAAAAAAAAAAAAAATAATCTAATTTTTTAAAACAGTAGAAAATATTCAATAAACAAAACATGAAATTGCTAAATTTCTTTTAATTTGCAAAAAAGGGTGCCATAAGATACCACCAGCACCAATATTAAAGACAATATCAGAGTCATGGACAGATATTTGTGGCTGGCAGTGGCAGGGTGACAGTTGCAGTGAGTGGAGGATGATGGGTCCACACTCTGACAGATCCCAGGCTGGAATTCCCCAGGCAATGTGGGAGATAAAATGCTACAACAGCAGGCAGCCTAGCCCACACACACAGAGAACACCTGAACTGAGCAATCTCACACAGTGACAGATCCTACACAACACACCACCACCAACACTGACACAGATCAGCAGGCACTAGAAGAGCAGGCTTTGGAATCGTGATGAGTCACCACTCACTGACACATTGCACATGTGATGGCCGGCCGCGTCACAACCACACAGACACAAGCAGTAGAGTCAGACATTACCTACCTCCACAGGTGCAACTCTGCCTCCGCTGATGAATGGGAAGAGAAAGGCTGGAACTGCACAGTAATCAGCAGCTGCCAGCCGGCTTGCAGTAAGGGACGGAGTCTGGGAGGAGCACTGGAAGGAACCGCAGCTCAGCTGCTACACTGGCCCCAGACACCCGGCATCTTCCTCTGTCCTTTCTTCCTCCTCTCTGCCGCCCTTCCCCTCAGCTGAAGGATCATTCATGACATGGCGGCTTCCCACACAGAGAGTGCCCACCTGTGCAATGCCCAGGTGCCCCTAGGTGGCAGTGCATGCTAGGTGGCTGCCTAGTTTGCTAGTGGAAGCAACCTCCCTGTACATAGGTAATATATATAGAGAGAGTAGTGGCTTTGGCCATTTTATGTTTTAGAAAAACTGTTTAAGAATAAAATCTCTGGTAATTATATCCATGTGGTGCTAAATGAAGGGCCTCTTTAAAAGTCCAGCTTCAGCCAAACAATTTTTTATTTTGTTGTAGAAGAGTTATAGCCTCTTTCAGGTTTTTATTGTCTTTTATGTCCCATTTGGGCATATTTCCCTTCACTTCCTATCAGGAAAATAGAAACATAAACAGTTGTTTTAAGGGCCCATATTATGTAATAATTTTAACACCAGTTGCCAGGAGTCCACTATGGGCATTCATGGAGTGTATTCCCTGTATGCTTCTATGTTGACTAATTGTGATCTTAAGCCGTATCTCTCCGGTTTACTAGTTTGACTGTACTGATCTATACTCTTCGTACCTGTCACAACAAAACTTTAAACAATGTATAAAAAACATAAACAGAAATGCCAGTACCCTCCAGGGAACAGCCTCATATACTAGTATTCTTGTATGAAAAATATAGCAAAAGAAAAAAGGAGGGCACCAGGTCAGTGTAGGTAAAAACAGAAAACTTTATTTTCAGATGACTTACATCTAAGACACCTTCGGTCAGTATGCAGGATGTGATGTGTATGCAGACCAATGAGACCACAGTTCTCTCGGATGATAAAGTCGATGATAGCTGCATAGCCTGAGATGGAGCCGCTCTTGGACTAAACGGTATTCATGATGTGACAGGTTCTGAAACGCGTTGCAACCCGCCCACTCCCCATTCACGGCATCTGTTATGGCACCTGTCACATCTTCCCCTTGCTCGGCGGGAACACATGGATGAACTCTGTTTAGTCCATGAGTGGCTCTGTCCCAGGCTATGCAGCTATCTTTGGCTTTACCATGTGAGAGAACTGTGGTCTCCCTGGTCTGCCTACACATCACATCCTGCATGCTGACCGAAGGTGTCTTAGATGTAAGTCATCTGAAATTAATGCTTTTACCTACACTCACCTGGCACCCTCCTTTTTCTTTTGCTTGTCTTCGAAGGATTCCCCACATCCTTGGCGAGGAGCTGCCGGTCCCATTGCATGTGCCTTGTTCTCTTAGTCCACCTCTTCCCTACTCTGCTCACCCTATGGACGTATTGATGTTTTGACATACCATTGTCATATCACCCACTGTGCAGTCAGTTCAATTTCCTTACTTATCCATTATTGTGTATTCATATATTACTATCTAATTCATTCATTCAGCACTGTTCATTGTCTTGATGATCATTGTATATATACCTGTATGAAAAGTATGCTTATATAAATCTGAATAATATGTAACAATGGTATAACAGACCCAGTAAATCCACTGGAAACTTGTATGCATCAAATAGTATGTAGGAAAAACACCCTTCTACACTTAAATAAATGCAAAAGTCCAGAGATTGTGGAATACACATACTGATATCTGGCAAATAATGTTTATGGACATACAGTGGATATAAAAAGTCTACACACCACTGTTAAAATGTCAGGTTTCTGTGATGTAAAAAAAAACGTGACAAAGATAAATCAATTCAGAACTTTTTCCACCTTTAACCTCTTCACGCCGGCTGCACACAAATGTGCGGCCTCCCGGGGTCTGGGCCTTGACGCCGAGTGGGCGCACATTTGTGTGCAATTAAGAAAAACCTATGTGCTGAGAGCGCACAACCCTGCGTGCTCCCAGCACACATGTCCGGTACTCACGGAAAGGTCCCGATCGCCTCTTTCGATTGGGAACTTTTCCGATCATGTGATGGCGAATCACGGGGTCCCATGACCCTAAAACCCTGCCCCACCTCCCGGCTTCTGAAACCCTTAAAGGGCCGGGAGGCGTCGGCGCCAAGGGGTTAATGTCACCTATAAATTGTACAACTCAGTTGAACAACAAACTGAAATCTTTTAGGTGGAGGGAAGTAAAAATAAAAAACTGAAATAATATGGTTGCATATGTGTGCACACCCTTAAACTAATACTTTGTTGAAGCACATTTTGATTTTATTCCAGCACTCCGTCTTTTTGGGTATGAGTCTATCAGCATGGCACATCATGACTTGGCAATATTTGCCCACTCTTCCTTGCAAAAACACTCCAAATCTGTCAGAATGCGAGGGCATCTCCTGTGCACGGCCCTCTTCAGATCACCCCACAGATTTTCAAATGGATTCAGGTCTGGGCTCTGGCTGGGCCATTCCAAAACTATAATCTTCTGGTGAAGCCATTCCTTTGTTGATTTGGATGTATGCTTTGGGCCGTTGTCATGCTGAGAGATGAAGTTCCTCTTCATGTTCAGCTTTCTAGCGGAAGCCTGAAGGTTTTGCCAATATTGACTGGTATTTGGAACTGTTCATAATTCCCTCTACCTTGACTAAGGCCCCAGTTTCAGCTGAAGAAAAACAGCCCCAAAGCATGATGCTGTCACCACCATGCTTCACTGTCTGTATGCTGTTCTTTTGGTGATGTGCTGTTTTTGCGCCAAACATATCTTTTGGAACTCTGGCCAAAAAGTTTAACCTTGGTTTCATCATCAGACCATAACACATTTTCCCACATGCTCTAGTGAGTCTTCAGATGTGTTTTTGCAAAATTTAGCCGGGTTTGGATGTTTTTCTTCGTAAGAACAGGCTTCCATCTTGCCACTATAGCCCAGACATATGAAGAATAAAGGGAAATTGTTGTCACATGTACCACACAGCCAGTTCTTGCCAGATATTCCTTCAGCTCCTTTAATGTTGCTGTAGGCCTCTTGGCTTCACTTGATGATGACTGTCTTCACTGTGTTCCATGGTATATCTAATGTCTTGGAAATTCTTTTGTAACCTTCTCCTTACTGGAATCAGTATCTTTTAACAATGAGATCCCTCTGATGCTTTGGAAGCTCTCTGCAGACCATGGCTTTTGCTGTAGGATGCGACTAAGAATGTCAGGCAAGACCTACTAGAACAGCTGAACTTTATTTGGGGTTAATCAGAGACACTTTAAATGATGGCAGGTGTGTACTAACTCCTATTTAACATGATTTTGAATGTGATTGCTTAATTCTGAATGAAGCTACATCCCCAGTTATAAGAGGGTGTGCACACTTATGCAACCACATTATTTTAGTTTTTTATATTTTCTCCCCCCCCCCTAAAAGATTTCAGGTTGCTTTTCAATGGAGTTGTACAGTTTATAGGTCACATTAAAGGTGGAAAATTTCTGAAATGATTTATCTTTGTCTCATTTATTTACATCACAGAAACCTGACATTTTAACAGGGGTGTGTAGACATTTTATATCCACTGTAAATATAAAAAACAATAATATGAACAGTGCAATTCTGAAGTTTGTTTTTGTGCATCAAAATGTCCAGCCTCAGTCAGATTGAGTAGCGAAACTCTGAAGTAAATTAAATTGCACAATTTTAGTAGAGAGCAATTGCTGTATTTAATATAATTGCAAACAATTTCATTTCACCACAACACCATCCTCAGACATGCCAGTCATGCGTGTCATATGTCTGTATACTTTAGCAAGCCGGAGTTCCATCCAAGTGTCTGCACCACTAAAACTCATGACCAAGAGTCCATCTGAGATAGGCCGTAGCAGAACGGAGAAGGAATGGTGAGATGTGTGTCTGGGATTTGGCATTGCCAAAGCCTAGCAGCCTAAACTCACACCTTTTATCAGAAAGGTTTTCTCAGTGGCTCAAATGAATTCAGAATAAAATGTCAACAGGGACAGAGCTGGAAACACATGACCAACCAATGATTTAACCACTGTATTTGAACAGGGTTGGAAATCAACATTCCAGTGCATAATATTCCAACATACTGTACAGTATATGTTCCATTGCATGATATTACACATGCTACATGCTACAAAATTTGGACAGCAGCATCAAGCATAAACTGTAGGTTTCTCTGGTTGGCCAGTAGAGGCTTTCCTGATTGCCCAATAGTTTTCACAATGTCACAGAAAAAAAATGTAATATTTTAGATTATCTATAGTATTATTCATCTGCGAATATGCATGTTTGTGTACTTATATGTTTGATTATTTTGCAGGGTGTGGTACAGTTTGATCTGGAATGCTTTAAAAAATATGGAAAGTTATGGGGGTGAGTTCAAATCTCCAGAATACACATTTTGTTTTCAATTAAATCACTTCCTAGTTGCGCTAATTATTTAAAATTATAACCAGTATTCACTTTCAGCTTTAAAGACATGAACAAAAGCCACATAGAGGCTGTTGATTTGTAAAATAACTCGGAAATCCTAGAACCTGGAGTATTGTGTTTAGATCATTTTCACCAGCACCTGTGGACAAGGGCTTGGGCACAGCCCTCTACTTCTGTTGCCTCACTTTTGGTCAGTGAGGATGCCAAAATTAGTTACAGTGTTAGTTACAGTGTGGAAGGAAGACCAGATGTCTTGAACATATGAGCTAGCTGAAACTTGCAAAATTGAGCACCCTGTACTTTGGGGCTTCTGAGGCACCCCAAGGCGCATATGACCATTCATATAGAACTTCTATGAGACTGCTAATACATGACTGGTGACAGGGCCAAAAAATGTATGTATTTAGCGGATCAAAAATGAATTGTTAGCGGTGAATAATGTCTGTTGTATATTGTCTTGCAGACTGTATGATGGAAGACAACCGGTTCTTGCAATTCTAGACCCTGTTTTAATAAAAGCCATTTTGGTGAAAGAGTGTTACACTAACTTCATAAATAGACGGGTAAGTGTCTTCGGGGTACATTCTTCAACAACAATTTCTGTCAAACTCCAGCAATATTACATTATGATGTCATTCTTTCAGCCTGTGTGAAAAATGGCATTACAAGCTGCATAATCACAAAGGTGGCTTTATGCATTTAAGACTTCCTGCCCATAAGAAGTACTTGTACATCCTTGGGTAGAAGTGGGTATACCAGGAGTCATGGCTCCAACTATACCTTTTTTTCAGCTGGCAATGTTCAACTAGGTACTGTATAAGCGATTCAAATGGCTGAAAAGCCACTGGATTGCATTTACATGTGGTGGAAGGTCTCCTCCGCCTCTGCCTTCCCTGGCTCTCCTGTTCCATTGGAGAACCTTGAACTGAAGCCAGCAGTTCTGCCGACTTACTATAGAGATGAATGAGGACTGGAAGTTCCCCAATCATCTCTCTATGGTCTAAGAAACTGGAAACAGAGAGGATGTTACTTCCGGTTTTGCTCAGATGTAAACAAGTCATTAGAGGCTTGTGAAAGCATCTAATCAAACTGATCTTGGGTTGGTCAGATGCTTTTAAGGCAGAGGAGAGATCTGGGGCCTAATAAACCCTATATGTCTCAGTAAAGAGTGCCTACTGCCCCCATGCTATCACAATGGATGTTGTTCATCTCTCTGATAGCAATAAAAGTGAAAAAAAATTAGATAGTATAAAAATATTGCAATGAAATAAATATAAAAATTAAACAAATTTTATGCACCGTCTTAATTGGTCAGGCTGGGATGACGTAACTGCTGTTCATGCACACAGGAGTTAATTAATTATAGCAGATGCTAGAATTGTACATTAAGCTGTGTATGTATCACGTAATACAGATAAAGTATCCCAAATTATTATGTTACAAGTTTGGAAACCATAAACAATAGTGAATTGTTCGATTGTTATTGGTAAATGTCTGCGAGCAATATCCATACTATCGCCCATGCCATGTATGAATGCTATCGCCCATCTATACTGCTTTTAAAATCCACCTCAAACTGAAGCTGATTCATAAATATCAATGTTCTTATTGGTCATTCTTACTGCTTCAAAAATCTTTAACTCTGGTAGATATTACTGTGGTGTTTATTTTGCTCTTATTGTCTGACCCAAATTTATGAGCTGATCCTAATCTTTACAACTCTGCCTTCCCTTGTAGTCCTCCTTTGGTGTGAGAAGTTTGCCCTGCCAGCCATATGTCTCTGCTATGCATTCCTAATTGATTAATTGACAATATCCCCACCCAACTCAGTATAAATTTAGGCCTTTCTTAGGGGAGGCACAGCCAGGGGTAGCATTGGCAACTCTCATCTTGGATAAAGTATTCATTTTGGATTAAGTATTGAGCATTGCACTTTGGCTCTGCACTTCAGTAAATGCACAAATCGAGAAGCCACAGCAGACAACTTCAAATACCAAACAGACTACAAGTGACCTGTTTTCCCATCCAGCTCTTTTAGCTCTTATCCAGTCTGCTTCTTCATCTCACCATTCTGTAACATGCACTCCCTACTCCTCCTTCTTACAGTTGTATCCTCTCTCTTCAAACTCTGTCCTTCACCCCACTTCTCCACCCCACAACTTATATATATCACCCTCACTCCTGTCTTCACCTTACTACTGTACTCATCAACTCCTGCTAATGCTGAACCCACACACTAATAAAACCTCCAGGACAATGGATCCTGCCCCTCCATATAAGTCATACTCCCATATTACCTCTCTCACCCTTCTGATTCTCTTAACATCTGGAGACATTTCCCCAAATCCTGGGCCACCATCCTTTTCCTTTGATCAACACACCCGGCACCCCCTGTCTTCTAACAGCAGTTGCAATCCACACAATCTAGTTACTATTCCTCTTCTTCCTAAACCAGCCTCCCCTCTTCCTGTGCCATCTGGAATGCCTGCTCTGTAACAAACTCACCTCTGTCCATGACCTTTATATCACAAACTCCTTTAACTTGCTTGCAATTACGGAAACCTGGCTTCATGAATCTGATTTTCCCTCTCCTGCTACCCTCTCCCATGGTGGTCTCACTCTCCCAGGCCTAGTGGATGGAAAGGAGGTGGAGTTGGAATCCTCCTATCCCCTCAAAGCACTTTTCAGGTCCTTTATTCATCTCCCTCTCCTCATTTGTAGTTCACTCTGTTCCTCTATTCTCTCCAGTTTCGTTAAGAATTGCTGTGATCTATCGGCCTCCTGGACCGGTATCAAGCTTCCTTGATGACTTCTCTGCCTGACTGCCTTACTTTCTCTCTTCTGAAATTCCCACAATCATTCTTGGTGACTTCAACATCCCTTGCAACCTCACCAACTTTCCTTTTCCTCTGATCCCTCACTTATTAGCTTCACTCTCTCCTTGGCTTCTTCCTCCTTGTCTTCCAACTACCGAATAGGTACCCATAGAAACCCTCACTATCTTAACCCTTCTCTTCTTTTTTCGGCAACAGATTGTCTCTATGACAAAATCTCAGCCCTGTCCTGTCCCAACCTGGCCACTTCTGTCTACAATAGTTCACTGTCATCCACCGTGGACACATTAGCCCCCCTCATTACACACAGAATTAGGCCCTGACTGCTACAGCCCTGGCAAACAGATGACTCAAAAAATGTAGCCATGCCCTTGAGCATTTATGGCATAAGACTAAGACCCAGCAAGACTTCAACCAATATAAATCTGCCCTTCAAAAATACAATTCTTGTCTCCACACTGCCAAACAGATCTATTTTATCACTCTCATTAACTTCCTCTCATGCAATCCCCGTCAACTCTTTTCTACCTTTTAACTCTCTACTTCATCCTTCTTTACCTCCACCCACTAACTCGCTAATTGCCCAGGAGATTGCTAATCACTTCAAAAATAAGATTGATACAATTTGTGATGAGATCTCCACTGTACAGATATCTCCTTCATCCTACACTCCTTGTCCACCTGCACAATCTACACTTCCCTTGTTTAACCCAGCTACTATAGAGGAGGTTGGTAAACTTTTTTCTAAAGCCCACCTAACCACCTGTCCTCTGGACCCTGTTCCCTCGCAAATACTATGTTCACCCTCTGGCTCTATCCTTTATTCTTTAACTCATATCTTTAATCTCTCCCTTTTTACTGGCATCTTCCCCAACTCTCTAAAACATGCGTTAGTCACCCCCATACTTAAAAAGGCCTCACTTGACCCCACAAATCTTGGCAATCTAAGACCCATCTCCTTACTCCCTTTTGCCTCCAAACTCCTTGAACGTCTTGTCTACAACCAGCTGAGCTGCCACCTTATTGAGAATAACCTTCTCGATCCCCTTCAGTCTGGATTTCGCCCACAACACTCCATAGAAACTGCTTTCCTATAACTCACAAACAACTTACTCCTTGGACCTCTCCGCTGCCTTTGACACAGTTGACTACCCCCTCCTCCTCAAAAAACTCTATTTACTTGGTCTCTGTGACTGTACTCTCCGTTGGTTCGAATCTCACCGCACCTTCAGTGTCACTTACAACTCTACTTCCCCCTCTCCTACTCCTCTTACAGTCGGGGTCCCCCAAGGTTCCTTGGACCTCTCCTATTCTCGATCTACACTTCTTCTTTGGGGCAGCTGATAGCTTCCCATGGTTTCCAATACCATTTCTATGCTGATGACACACCAATCTATCTCTCTACTCCTCAGCTCACCCCATCCATTTCCTCACGTATCACCAATTTACTAACAGACATATCAGACTGGATGTCACACCACTTCCTAAAACTCAATGTATCCAAAACTGAGCTCATAATATTTCCTCCCCCATGTGCCTCTTCCCCTGATTTCTCGGTCAGGATCAATAGCACCACTATCAACCCATCGCTGCATTGCAGGGTGCTAGGGGTAACCCTTGATTCTGAACTATCCTTTCAGGCCCACATCCAATCCCTGTCCAAAACATGCCGCTTCAGCCTCCGCAACATCTCCAGAATACGCCCCTTTTTAACCAATGATACCACAGAGCTCCTAATTCACTCCCTGGTTATCTCTCGCCTCAACTACTGCAACACCCTCCTCCTTGGCTTACCTTTACATAGGTTATCCCCCCTCCAGTCCATGATGAATACTGCTGCCAGGCTCATCCACCTTATCAACCGCTCACTGTCTGCTACCACTCTCTACCAATCTCTCCACTGGCTTTCACTCGCCCAATGAATAAAATTCAAAATACTAACAACTTACAAAGCCATCTACAACTCTGCCCCCAGCTACATCACCAACCTGGTCTGAAAATATCAACCAAACCGCTCTCTTTGATCATCCCAAGACCTTCTGCTCTCTAGTTCCCGTGTCACCTTCTCCCATGCTCACCTCCAGGACTACTCCCGAGCTTCTCCCATCCTATGGAACTCTCTAACCCAATTTGTCTGGCTATCTCATAATCTATCCACCTTTAGATGATCCCTGAAAACCTTTCTCTTTAAAGAAGCCTATCCTGCTTCTAACTAGTAAACTGCCATTTATTTCCTCCATCAGCTCATCCCCCCACAGCTATTACCTTTTTGTATCACTCAACCCTTCTTCCCAGATTGTAAGCTCTAAAGAGCAGGGCTCTCTGTTTCCTCTTGTACCAAACTGTATTGTAACTGTAATGTCTACCTTAATTTTGTAAAGCGCTGCACAAACTGTTGGTGCTTTTTTAAACCTGTATAATAATAACAATAACTATTCATCCTGTTAAACTGCATGAACACTGTGCACTGATTCTGTGTTAATGGGGGCAACATTGAATGTCATTAGGCTATTTTCTTTCCAGGTCTCCAAGTCAAATGTTATCCATTCATACAGAATAGCATAAATATAGTAATATATATTTCTATCATTGTCAGATCCATCTAGTTGCCATAATACTTTCCTGATTATTATTATTGCTTATTAAATGATCTATGCCAAATTTTACTCATGCTAAAAGTAAATTATGTAGGAAAATAATTGCAGTTGTAAAGATCTATTTTCTGGCACAGCAGCTCAAAGCAAACCTCCAGAGAGAAAGAATAAGCAGTAATGTGTTCTAATTATTGAATTCATTCAACAACTTCATAAGGGCACAGACAGAATGGTTCATGTCAGCTATTGGAAAATGTCTACAACATAGAGAAACCCAGATTTCTTAGAATTGCATTATTTCCTTCTCAAATCATCGGTACGTTATTGCCACTAACATTACTGATAGACATGTTAATAAGAACTATACTGCTACCGTTTTAGAAAGATTAGTTGATCCTTCATTTTTGTATGTACAGCGCTGAGCGAACTTCTTTATAAATACTGAATGTGAAGTAATCACAGTTACTGCAAATACTCTTCTCTTTCCTTCCTTCTCTACAATTATCTTAATTTAGGCCTTACCTGCTCTTATGTATAAATAACACTCAGATTGCAAATTACTTTGGCGTAAGCTTGATTATCCCATTTTTTGACCAAATTAAAGACAACAAATATGTATAAAGAGATATCTTCTCCAATACAGAATTTTGGCCTTAATGGTCCCTTTGAGTCATCTATAACAATTGCTGAGGATGACCAGTGGAAGAGGATTCGGACGGTGCTCTCACCCACATTTACCAGTGGGAAACTGAAGGAGGTAAATGTTATTACTCAGTTTCTGTGTATCTCTTGATTTTTTCTTTTGTGGACTGCTGTTTTGAAGATTAGTTAACTGATGAGATCATTCTCTACAGGATATCAATTCCTTTTGTATTTTTGCAAGAATACTTAGAATTTGATTATTCTAAACTAAAATCTTTACTTTTTAGATGTTCCAGATAATGAATGACTACTCTAATAAACTGGTCAAGAATATACAAGTTTATGTTGCCAACGATGAGCCATGTCCAATGAAGGAGTGAGTTTATTTAATGTAAAGGAAATAACCTGAAAGCTGAACTCCAGGCAGTTATCAAGAAAAGAAAAACTATACAGTATACCGTATTTTTCGCTCCATAAGACGCACCTGACCATAAGACGCGCCTAGGTTTTAGAGGAGAAAAACAAGAAAAAAATATTCTGAACCAATGGACTGCAGACATAGTACAGGAAATGACCAGAGACTGCGGACACAGTATGGGAGATGACCAGAGACTGCGGACACAGTACAGGGGATGACCAAGAGACTGCAGACAGTACAGGGGATGATCAAGAGACTGCGGACCTTTGGGGAGGGAGGGGGAGCGGGTACCTGAATTTGACAGGTACCCGCTCCCAGTTCCGCGAAGTTGTCCTCCCTTTAGTGTGGGCACCCAGCTGTGACAGCCTGGTGCCCACTGTGCATGCGTGAGAAGCACTGCGCTTTGTTAATGGCCCGGCGTCCTCTAGGACCTGTCATGTCCCAGAAGACGCCAGACCATTCAAAAAGCGCAGCGCTTCTCACGCATGCACAGTGGGCACTCGGCTGTCACAGATGCCGGCACGGGAAGATGCCGGCGCGGGAAGACTGTACAGTGCTGGACCGAGGAACAGGTAAGGTCCTGCTGCAGAGAAGAGCTGAGCGGCCGGCCCGGTATTTTACATGGTGTCGGCGGCGGAAATACCGGACCGGCCGCTCCATATTCACTCCATAAGACGCACTGACATTTCCCCCCCTTTTTTGGGGGGAAAAAAGTGCGTCTTATGGAGCGAAAAATACGGTATATCTAGATAGATACAGAAATATTCATCCTTTATATGTATTTTTGAATGCAACTAAATACGTTTGTCTTGATAACATCCCGCTATAATGCCTTGTATGGCATCACTCTCCTAAAAGCACATGTGCTTACAGCATACATTCAGACAGGAGGAGAGCACAGAGTGAGCAGAGGGATGACCTCATCAGAATGTTGCTGCATTGGAGGCTAAGTATATGTATTTCAGTGATGCATGTAGTTGCTTGTCTGGAGCTCAGTTATTAACATGAAGCGTATGAAGACCTCTACTTTGCACAGAAATGACTAATGTCTCTATGGCTACAGTATAAAAAAGTAATTCAGCTATGTTCATAGTGCTGTTATCTCTCAAACAAATGAACTGTGCTTTTTTCTGTGACTGAGAGGAATTCTCTCTGGTCCTGCTCAGCACAGGGGTCATTATTATTATTTTATTACAGGTACTTGTATAGCAGCATCAATTTACACAGCACTTTACATACAGTATATATTGTACATTCCCATTAGTCCCTGCCCTCAAGGGGTTTACAATCTAAGGTCCCTAACTCACATTCATGTATACACATACTAAAGCCAGTTTAGACAGAAGCAAATAAACCTACCAGCATGTCTTTGGAATGTGGGAGGAAACCCATGCAGGCACAGGGAGAACATGCAAACTCCAGGCATTTAGTTGTGGTTTGGATTTGAACCAATGACCCTAGTACTGTGAGGTGGAAGTGCTAACTGTTTAACTACTGAACTAACATGTCACCATCATCATCAAAAGTTCCTGTAAATATGGGGATCAAGCCTGGACTAGGACGTACAATAAACCCAGGCATTTTAGACTTAGCAGCCAAGGAACCAGGGGTGGGGGGGGGGGGGGGAGCATTCATGGGGGTGGTTGGTGATGGGATGTTCACAAAGGTAATCCTCCACAATGTAATGTGACTGGGCACTGTGATATAAAAGGGGATTGCACTGTAAAGGGGCACGGTTTTGCTTACAGTGAACTCCCCATGACATTACAGTGCCCCTAGCAGTTAGGCCCCATTTTCTCTCTAATCAGAGTGCCCCCCTTTTACGCTCTGCTTCTCCCTGTACAGTCCTATCTTTGGCAAGGAGACATCCCCATATATTCAACAAAGAGACATCCCCATCCAGCAAACTGACATCCCCATCCAGCAAAGAGACATCCCGTATAGCAAAGAGACGTCCCTATCCATCAAAGACACAGCCTCATCCACCAAAGAGACAGCCCAACCTAGCAAAGACATCCTGTATAGCAAAGAGACGTCCCAATCCACCAAAGAGACGCCCAACCTAGTCCTGTATAGCAAAGAGACGTCCCAATCCAGCAAAGAGACGGCCCAGTCCAGCAAAGAGACGGCCCAATCCAGCAAAGAAAGAGAAAAGAAATGTCCCAATCCATTAAAAAGACAGCTCCATATAGCAAAGACACGGCACAATCCACGAAAGAGACAGCACAATCCAGCAAAGAGACTACCCAGTTCAACAAAAAGATGGCCCAATCCAGCAAAGAGACAGTCCCATTCAGCTAAGACGTCCCAATCGAGAAAAGAAATGTCCCAATCCATTAAAAAGACAGCTCCGTATAGCAAAGACACGGCACAATCCACGAAAGAGAAGCATAATCTAGCAAAGAGACATCCCCATATAGCAAAGAGATGGCTCAATCCAGCAAAGAGACAGCTCCATATAGCAAAGATATGACTCAATCCAGTGCAGAGACAGCCCCATCCAGAAAAGAGACAACCCAATTCAGCAAAGAGTCAGCACCATATAGCAAAGAAACGGCCCAATCCAGCAAAAAGACAATTCCATACAGCAAAGAGACAGACCAATCCAGAAAAGAGACAGCTCCATATAGCAAAGAGATGGCTCAATCCAGTGCAGAGACAACCCCATCCAGCAAAGGCAAAGAGACAGCCAAATCCAGCAAAGAGACATGTCAATATAGTAAAGACCTCCATATAGCAAAGAGATGGCCCAATCCAGCAAAGAGACAGCCCAATCCAGCAAAGAGACAGCCAAATCCAGAAAAGAGACAGCTCGATATAGCAAAGAATGGCTCAATCCAGTGCAGAGACAGCCCCACCCAGCAAAGAGATAGCCCAGTCCAGCAAAGAGACATATCAATATAGCAAAGAGATATCCCACATCCAGCAAAGAGACAGCTCTATATAGCAAAGAGACAGCTCTATATAGCAAAGAGACAGCTCTATATAGCAAAGAGACTGCACAATCCAGCAAAGAGACTGCACAATCCAGCAAAGAGACTGCACAATCCAGCAAAGAGACAGCCCAATCCAGCAAAGAGATGGCCCAATTCAGCAAACAAAATGGCCCAGTCCAGCAAAGAGACAGTCCCATTCAGCTAAGAGACATCCCAATCTATTAAAGAAATGTCACAATCCATCAAAGAGACAGCTCCATATAGCAAAGAGACGGCCCAATCCAGCAAAGAGACAGCCCAATCCAGCAAAGAGACGGCCCAATCCAGCAAAGAGATGGCCCAATCCAGCAAAGAGATGGCCCAATACAGCAAAGAAACATCCCAATCAAACAAAGAGACCGCTCCATAAATCAAAGGGATGGTCCAATCAAGCAACGAGACAGCCCAGTCCAGCAAAGAGACAGCTCCATATAGCAAATAGATGGCTCAATCCAGTACAGAGACAGTCCCAAGCAAGCAAAGAGACAGCCCAATCTCCCCCACACACAAACACACACACCACTGCTACAGAGTGGGATGTGTGGCTTTAACACACACTGCGCTCACCTTCCTCCCGTGTAGCTGTCATAGTTAGGAAAGAGCCCGCCATGGTCTCATGCAGTGTATTTCCAGCGGCTGGCCTGAGATTTATGTTTCCCCTGCTGGCAGGTCTTCTTCTGTACCTCTTAGTTTGCCAGAATTGGCCCTGCTGTAGGCATGACCACATAGCGGAAGGCGAGCGGCGGCTACAGTCTGTTAACCCTGTCCAGACAGTGAAGTGAACGCCACTTATCTCCCGCTGTGTGGTCCAGTCATCAACAGGCTGCACTTCTTAGGAAACATGGCCTGGTGGCCCTGGCCCACAGGGCAAATGCCTGGTGTGCCCTATGTCCAGTCCAGGCCTGATGGGGCTAATATATGAACACCTGCTGCCACTACAACAGATGCAGGGGAGTTACTGTATAAGCTAAGGTCCTGTCCAATCTCATCAGTCTAGTGGGGACTGAACATCACACCTCATTTCATATTAATATTGAATTAATTTACTAATATTTATATAATATACCTTCAACAAAGTCAAGTTTTTGTACTTAAAGTATAACTAAAAATCCTATTTTTCAGTTTTGGATAGAGTGAAGAAGGATTAGAACACCTGTCAGGTTTTTATTGTTGTCTGTCTGTGTCCCTGTTAGGGAGATTCGCTTTCTTTCTTTCTGTCCTGGTGAACGTTACCACTAAAATTGAAAGCAAAAGAAAATAATGAAATTTGAGTAGGTATAGAGGGGAATCTTCCAAACTAGTTCTGGTGACAACCATGAATTCCCTCACTTTGGGGGGACTTCCTCTAGCTTCCTGTTTTGACAATGGGCAGATGGGAACTCTCCCCAAATGGAAACAAAAGTGGAAAAAAAACTTGTTGGGGTTATAACCCTCCCTTGCTCTATCTAAAAAAGAACAGTTTTGTCTTTTTTTTCAACTTTAAAGGAAAACGTCTGCATATTCAGGGTGCTTCTGGAACCAAGGTTTGCACATTACTAAAATGTTGACTTGAACCCAAGTCAAGCAGTCAAAATGAGCCTGCATCCAGCAATGCATCTCAAGAGATGCAGGAACAGCATTTGACATTTGCTTTAATTTAGAATTTACATATAACACTTGCCTTAATTTATATGGCTTTTATGATTTTTTTTATTTACATAAAAAATGGAATATGCGGGCTGATGACAATAGACACACCTGTTGCATTTTTTAAAGTTTCCATAGATACAGGCTAACTTTTCATATACCTTCATACAAATCTATCAATCCACTGCAGTAGGCTGCTAGATGAGGAAGATGCTTATTTGACCCCCCCCCCCAAAAAAAAGAGTAACATTTGGCAAATCTCTTTTAAAAGTAAGCACATTATGCTTCATATAAATTCAGGCAATGGGAGTATGATCAGAAAGCATCCGCAAAGTAGTCTTGACTTATACTGTAAATTAGCCAGCAGTTGGTAGCATGATCAATATTTGCTAAGCCTAAAGAAACAGATATTTAAATGATATGCACTGAATACGTTCATATGTAAAAATACAATAGGCTCAATATTTGCACATTTTAAAGTGGTTGTAAATCTGCCATGAATCAGGAACAAAGCATATCCTACTATAGTGTATACTTGCCTCAATCCAGCACACAGCAGATGATTGACAACCTCAGCTGTGCATGTTTCCTCATGAGACTTTGAAGAGGGGGTTGTTCATTCTCTCCACTCAGGTCTCAGATTGCACTCAGCTGTCCTTTCTGTGCTGTGCAGTAGTGACATGAAATGCTGCCCTGTGCCTCCTGAAGCTCAAAAATGCTGTGTAAAATGTGCACTTTGAATGGCTGTAATGAGCGGGCTGTGGATAAGCAAGTACAACTTATACAGAAGGATTTATCTCTGTGTATCACTTCATTAGGTATACAGTGTGGCAAAAAAGTATTTAGTCAGCCACCGATTGTGCAAGTTCTCCCACTTAAAAAGATGAGAGAGACCTGTAATTGGCATCATAGGTAGACCTCAACTATGAGAGACAAAATGAGAAAAAAAATCCAGACAATCACATTGGCTGATTTGGAAAGAATTTATTTGCAAATTATGGTGGAAAATAAGTATTTGGTCAATATCAAAAGTTCATGTCAATGTGATTGTCTGGATTTTTTTTCTCATTTTGTCCCTCATAGTTGAGGTCTACCTATGATGCCAAATACAGGCCTCTCTCATCTTTTTAAGTGGGAGAACTTGCACAATTGGTGGCTGACTAAAAACTTTTTTGCCCCACTGTATGTAAGGGCTTCCAGCCATTCCAGGTGTAAATTTCTTTGCAAATTTTGTCTCAACTATTTTTAGGTATAGCACAATTTAAATTGTAGCTTGAACTCCTTTATGTTCTGGTGTAAATGAACATCTTGTGGGCAGTTATTCATATCCCAGTTAATAATATTATTATTATTATTATTACTGAGAATGAGGACAGTCCATAGTTCAGAGCGACAAATTTATTGCAGGCTGAAATGATTTCTAATTGGCTCTGTATAATCATTGTGAAGTATAAAGTGTTACAGTGTTGCTTTCTTTTTCTTTTATAGTGTTCTGGGAGCCTACAGTATGGATGTTGTCACCAGCAGTTCCTTCAGTGTGCATGTGGATTCTTTGAACAAGCCTGATGACCCCTTTGTTAAAAAGACCAAGCAACTTCTAAAGTTTGGATTGTTCAGCCCAATGCTTATATTTGTAGGTAAAGTGATTTTTCTTTACAGTTTAAAACCTACATGTATTAAAGAGGCCCATACAAAATACACAGAAATATATCACTTTGGGTGGGGGGCCCATGGAACCCAGCTCACTTTGGAGAGGTGGGGAGACCCGTCCCAGCCCCCCATATCCCTCTTATATGTAAATCACCCTTTGCCTGTTAAGGGTACAGGGTGATCTGTCCTAATACTGTGTGGGCTTTGTCTCAGACTGTGTAGACATGTTTAGGAGATAGGTGGGGGTGGGGGGTGTTGATTGTTTAATGTTCTGTGGCTGCATCCCATTGTTTTATTGTTTGGCATGGGAGCAAACTATTATGGGATGTACTTGTTTATGCGTATTAGCTTAGTGGGGGGGGGGGGGGTTGTCTCCAGCAGCCCTCCCTCCTGATGGGACTGTCTCTGCTGGTGTGAAGTTTGAATACTTATGTGTCTCTTGTTACTAAATGTAGATGTCCCGCCCTGTGTCATTATGCAGGTAGGGGGGATTGTCCCCTGAGTGTATATATCTTGTATCTTGGTTCAAATAAAGTAGTCTACCTCCTGGTTTACTTCAAGACTGGTGTTGTCTAGTCTTGTATGGTCGGCTGTGGTGTCTGTTGTCAGTGTTCGGAAGGGGAAGCGGTAATCTAACGGAAGTACTCAAGCACAGTCTGAGTCGGTTCCATTACAATAAATATAGAATATATATATATATATATATATATATATATATATATGACACTTCATCAGAAAATCCATCAGAAAGCTGGGCATGTGCTGCATGTCTTGGAAGCCTTGAGGCTGGGTGTGCTCGGATATACTGACCATTCTTGGACAGTGTATACTTATCCAATTGATAGCCACCTGCGGTTGCTTTTGGAGGCTTCTGGTTCATTGTTACAAGGCTTGATTGGCCCCTGTAATAAGAGCCTAAGAACAATGACCTGGGAGGACCCAAGAGAGTCAGCATTGTAGGCTCTGACCAACTGACTGGTGCAAGTGGCGAGTTCGGGGTCCTTTGAGCATCTACCCAGGCCAGTAGTTAAAATGGTGTGTGTAAAGCTTTTGTATGATCATCCCAATGTCTTGTGCAATATCCATAATAGAAGGAAAGAAGTTGCAGAGTACAGCTGATTTATTAAAAAAAGACCAAATTGACATGGTCTGTGGCTCTGATTATGCTGTATGTGAAATGCATTCTGCTCGCCTCAGGTTACTTACTGGGTGCTTTGTTGTTGTCCTTGTGGATCTTGCTGGCTGTGGCTATATTGTGATTTGATGTATAGGTCACAAAATCCTATCTACTACTGAGAACAGGCGTGGTTAGGAGAACTTCTCAAGTTAGCCAGATCTCAATACACAAGTCAAGTAGGATTATGGGTTAGAAGAGTTTGTGATGAACTGTTTCACTGCCTAGATGTGTGTGGGTACATGGGCATATTAAGATGCCATGAATTCACAGCGCAACTTCAGGGTGGAAAACTTGATGGCCTGAAATTTTAAGGACTTCCTATGTAAATTTTACCACAGACAATAATCTCTAAACACAAGCTTCAGACTATCTATCAACATGGACAAAGACCACAGAATCGTGAGAGAGCAAAAATGTGTACATTCTGAGCTCACAGTATTGCACTAAAACTGAAAGTTGTTTCTGCATTACTATGGTGTAGCCAGTTTAGGCTTGCAACAGAAAGGTATAGTCGTGTTTTATACCTGGTGTAATGTACGATATGCTGCTTATTTTTATCTTGAGCGATCAGACAAGCTAATACTCTAATGTTGATTGCTAGACTTCTTTTTTTGGTATATGAACGTGGTAATGTTCACTTTGGGGATATGTTATGGGTTCTTCATGTTGTTTATCTTTATTAAGAAGTTGCATAAGTAACCTACTCTCTCTTCTGATTGGTGGATTTTCCCTAGCTAAAGGAGGCAGTGGGAAGTTGAAGATGGTGGGACAAAGACCTTACTATTTTTTAGCTTTCCTGAGGAGACTGTGGATGTAAGACTGCCATGTAGATGCTGCATGTTGTTTCCTAATCTCAGGGTAATATAATATCACTGGCCTTAATGATCACCCCAGGGGGGTTTCTGTCTTCTTCCCAGATGGAGTTGAAAGCAGAGGAATTAGTCGCCCAAGACCTTGTTCCAGTATCAAACTAATGGTAGAACCATGAACTGAAGTATTTTTTTTAAATTAACTGCACCAGTAAAGATGACTTTCCAAGGCTTATACAGGTCATTTTAAAGGGGTTGGCGTTAGCCACAGAGACGTTGAGAATGCAGAGTGTGTCAGAATCAGCAAGACAAAGAGAACTTGGGGTGCAGTGAATCAGATGTAGCTCTTTTTGCATTATTTCTTTTCCATGAGGTCTAGAGAGACAGATTGCTGATTTGCCCACAAGGGCCACATGTGGAGGCCAATCAAAGCTCCCTGTTCCTAGCTGTAGATGGAATCGACCTGTTGCAAATAAATGGGCTGCCAACACACTTAAAATAGCGCATTCACTGTTTCTGGCAGCTCAGAGCGCCGTAACACAGATTTATCTTTTTCTTTTCTATATCTGCTGTCCATCATTGAAGTATATATTCTGCTGTGTGGTCCCCTTGGTCTAGGGCCACACTTGTGGCTCTCTGTATTTACCTGATTGACCACTACTGATATAGCTACCTCCTGTAAAACCTATTTTGGGATCTATGCCCTCTATTGTCTGTATTTGTGAATATCTGTGCTCTTAATAATACACTTTTTTTAACAATCAGGAGTGCTTTATTAAAGAAAGGCATGACACTTAACATTAGAACAGAAAAACAAAACAGCTGACATGGCATAACATAGAAGTTTAAAGGATCACACATAATGTCTGAAAAAATCCAGCGTCACCACATAATTACTGTACATACATGTAATACATCACTCTTGGATTCGACCATAACAGCCATAGTATGAAGATCAGCTCTAACTCCTCAGGGAGGGAGAATTTGATGTGGGGGTGAAGGGGGGGGGGGGTTGAGAACCAGGAGAGCACGGACATTGAGGGGGGAAATACATAGAAAATACCAGTGAGAGCCAAGGGGCACACACGCACCACCAAAGTTTCAGTTATATAGGGAAGAGCCTGACCCATCCTATTGAGACACCCACGGCTGCCAAACCTTATCGTATTTCCAGGGGCAACTTCAATTGATATATGTCAGCTTGTATAGGGGCAGAGCAGTGTTAATCATGGTTCCCCATGAGTACATGTCTGGAGATGTAGTAGATGTCCATTTACAAAGGATTTCCTAATATTACACAATTAATTATGCACACATTTTCTATCTCTGGGAGGCTGGGTTAAAACCACAGAGGAAGGGAGTAGATATAGAGGTTTTTGGAGAACACATGTCCACATGAAGAAGCTGCTGCTGTATTTTATGAAGACCAGAAGCAGGGACTATTAAAAACTCTAGGAACAAATAACTTCTTGATCTAAATCCTAGTAATCAACATGTCTCTGTCCTATTGTTGTTATCTCACATGCACAGTGCCAGATAGCTATGTGTTATACTGTGCTACTGTATTTGTGTAATGGCCACCTTCCAGTATATTAGTAGGTGAACCTGTTTATTGAAATAGAGTTTATATGCATCTCCTGTTATTTTAGTTAACCCTATTCCTTCTGGTCTGGAATTCCGTAGCTAGTTTTTAGTTCATAGCTCAAACTTCAGCATAGGCTAGAGTCAGGTTAGACATCCAATAGCCCAGTAGGTAGTTAGAGGTCTGGTCCAGTTGATTAGAAGTTACAAGGGACTAAGAAGCAGTTCCAGTATCACACCATGTTTTTTTCTGGTGAAAAGCTACATTCCAGACCAGCTGGAAAACAGTTGGAGGATCTCCCCATCACCACTGACTCTGTCTTCAGGTCTTTGAAACCAAGACAGAAGCCGCATCATGATCATCCTCAGGAGCAACTGGATTTTGCTGCAACATTCATCTGGAGGTATCTCCGTTAATAACTATATATACCAGGGATTGTATGCAGAATTCCAAACCGACTTCTGTCAGGTCCTTTGTTGATATTACCTGTTTGTACATGGGATGTATGTACTAATATTAACCTTTTATTATATAATGCTTGCATTCTACCCTTACTAGTGAGTATTTTTATAATTAATTATAATGTTATATGCTGGCTGCAATAGTTACTCTTCTCTCAATTACTTTGATTAGATTTCTGTTAATTTCTGTTAATTTCCATCCTGACCAGAGACATTGCCAGGCGTATTATTGTAGCACTGAGAATATGCCTAGGTCTTCCTTGCTAGCACAGAGGCTGTCTGCTACTGATACAGTTCCATGCACACCAACAATACAGACTCAGTCTAGGGGATATCTTTTCATGAATTTAGTGCAGAAAACGTGAACAGGAGGTGATTTAAAAGTTCAGGATACTCCAATACATTGTCAGAAATCAACAGGAGGACAAACATCTAGCACCATTCCTTTTATAGCTGCAGACTTGTATAAATGTCCCACAGTAGGCCTTACTGACAATGTCCCAGGAGGTGACTGCCACCCAGCTTCCACAAGACGTCCTTCAGTGAGGGAGATCCTTCTCCAGACTGGAACTTTAGTATAGCAACCTCCAGCAAAAATCCTTTAGCAAGTATTCTTTAGGTCTTCAGCCCTGCTACTACTGAGACCCAAACTGCAAATCTCTCACCCTAGCTGCCTCCCAGAGGCAGCAGCCTCAGGAGAATGGGAACCCTCCTAAGCAGAGGAAGTAAGAACACTCTGGAAACACTCCTAAATAATTATCACCTTTCCAGCCACGTGCTGGATACCCCCCCAGGAACTGGCTGAGGTATGATAAATATTCATACTTGAGTGATTGACCCTCCTGCTCTATCTTATGGACGTTTCTTCTAGCAACAGGCAGAGGTAATCAATCGCCCAGCTTTGGAAAGCCTGACCAGACCATAAGAACAGATCCTTGCTCCAGTGAAGTAAAAAACTAAATTAAACTTAACAGAGGCAGGGCGCTACATGATCAAACCAACTCTTCCACTTAGCAAAGGCTCTAGTCCTTGTATTTACCTACAGATTGAGTGCAATATCCTGTTTAGGGAGGACCATTTCTAATAAACCCCTAAAAGATGGCTACACATGTATATCTAAAAATATTGTGCATAAAAAGCTTCACACACTAAACTAAAGGTCACATGTAATTGCTTTGTTCTAAGTTTATTTTACAGTGCTATAAAAAAGTTGCAACATCAAAATAATAATTGCCTGTTAGAATGTACAGTATATAACTAATTTCCGCCTGGACTGCTTCTTATAAAATATTATACAGTATCAACATATTTTTTAAAGAATATGTGAAGAGGAATCAAGTAATGTAATGCATGGATTCAAGAAGTTAACTTTAATTTATATTTTCCATGCTCTAACAAAAAGCACTCAACTGTATTATGTCAAACTTTAAAATACAGAAAATCTGTTACATTGAAAAATAATTATCTTGAAGTGACATGACTTTTTTGCTTTTTTACTTTCAGTTATTTTCCCATTCCTTCGTCCTATCCTGGAGGGGCTGAATGTCACTTTGTTTCCAAAAGAGTTTTTAACTTTTTACATGAATGCAGTTACTAGTTTCAAGGAGAAGCGTCAAAAAGGAGATCATTCAGTAAGTCCTTACTAATAATTAATAAAACTGTATATAAAAATGATCAATGCCATAATATTGTGATAACAATATGACCATACACAAGCCATGTTTTTGAGAAGATTTTAAGTGCAACTATAGGCACAATGCAAATAAATAACATACAAGATGTTGCCTGTGAATAAACACAGCAGGATTACATAAATATACTACTCAAAAAAATTAAAGGAACACTTTTTAATCACTCCTGGGTTATTGATCTAGTCCGTTAAGTAGCAGAGGGGGTTGTTAATCACTTTCAGCGGCTTTGGTGTTAATGAAATTACCAGCGGGTGCACTATATGGGCAACAATAAGACAACCCCCAAAACAGGAATGGTTTTACAGGTGGAGGCCACTGATATTTCTTTCCCTACTCAGCTTTTCTGACTGTTTTTCACTAGTTTTGCATTTGGCTAGGATCAGTGTCACTACTGGTAGCATGAGACAATACCTGGACCCTAGAGAGGTTGCACAGAATGTCCAACTCCTCCAGGATGGCACATCAATACGGCCATTTCCAGAAGGTTTGCTGTGTCTTCCAACACAGTCTCAAGAGCATGGAGGAGATTCCAGGAGACAGGCAGTTACTCTAGGAGAGCTGGACAGGGCTGTAGAAGGTTCTTAACCCATCAGCAGGACCAGTATCTACTCCTTTGTGCAAGGAGGAACATGATTAGCACTGCCAGAGCCCTACAAAATGACCTCCAGCAGGCCACTGGTGTGAATGTTTCTGACAAAACAATCAGAAACAGACTTCATGAAGGTGGCCTGAGGCCCAACATCCTCTAGCGGGCCCTTTGCTCACTGCCTGGCACCATGGAGCTCGATTGGCATTTGCCATTGAACACCAGAATTGGCCACCACTGGTGCCATGTGCTTTTCACAGATAAGAGCAGGTTCACCCTGAGCACATCTGACAGACATGAAAGGGTCAGGAGAAGCCATGGAGAATGTTATGCTGCCTGTAACATTGTTCAACATGACCATTTTGGTAGTGGGTCAGTGATGGTCTGGGGAGGCATATCCATGGAGGGACACGCAGACCTCTACAGGCGAGACAACGGCACCCTGACTGCCGTTAGGTATTGGGTTGAAATCCTTGGATCCATTGTTAGACCCTACACTGGTGCAGTGGGTCCTGGGTTCCTCCTGGTGCATGAAAATGCCCGGCCTCATATGGCAAGAGTATGCAGGCAGTTCCTGGAGCATGAAGGAATTGATACCATTGAATGGCCCCCAAGCTTGCCTGACCTAAATCCAATAGAACACCACTGGGATATCATGTTTCAGTCCATCTGACGCCACCAGGTTGCACCTCAGACTGTCCAGGAGCTCAGTGATGTCCTGGTCCAGATCTGGGAGAGAATACCCCAGGGCACCATCCATCATCTTGTCAGAAGCATGCCTCGATGTTGTCAGGCATGCATACAAGCACGTAGGGGCCACACAAACTACTGAGTACCATTTTGAGTTGCTGCAATGAAATTTCAGCAGAATGGACTAGCCTGCTGCATCATTTTTTCACTTTGATTTTCGGGTGTCTTTGAATTCAGTCCTCTGTAGGTTGATAATTTTCATTTCCCTCAAACAATGGGCCATGCTTATGTTCCTAACACATTACCCAGTCCAAATCCGTATAATATCCAGCATGATATTTTTCCCCATTGAGATATTGTGTGTTTTCAAAGTGTTCCTTTAATTTTTTTGAGCAGTGTATATACAGAAAGAGCAACCTCCTGCGCTCAGGAAAACAGGATCTGGCAATGGTAAACCATGGATCTTCAGCATTTACAGTGTTGGCAGAACCTTGTTTTCTTACATAAATATAATACCTGTTGATCAGTAGAACAATCATTTTTCCTCTTTCTGTAACAGACCACTGGCCAGCAAAAGTTGGCAGGTATAGTTACAGGGGGTCCCTATCTCAGCTTTTAAATGGTCAGAGCAGCTCTCAGTTGACCAGCAGGGGGCACTGACTGCAGCAGATTGGATAAAAGCACAGGAAGACCAATGCCCTACAAAACCTATAGTCACCCCATTAAAAAAAAGCCTCAGAGAAATTGTCATTATTAATGAGTGTTTATAAAATATTAACTCATACAAAATTAAAAAATGTAAGGCTTTTTTCATACACCTAAAACATTATTCAAAGTACAGAGGGCTTAACTAGTATGCAGTGCCCTCTCTGACAGGTTTTTATTGTTGTCTGTGCCCCCTCTGGGTAGATTTACTCTATTTGTTCTGGTGGCATTCAAGGTCACAGGCAGAAAATGGTGGAAAATCCAAAATGTTTTACTTGCAACAGAACAAGTAAGGAAAATCTTCCAATGAAGACACTTGCTCAGGTGATACATTTCTAATAGGACACAGACAGTTAAAATAATCTAACGGGGGTTTTAACCCTTATCTACTGTATGCAAAGCAAAAAAAATATTCAATGCAGGGTTCATTTGCTGCTGGATGTCCAAAATTGTATGTAGCATTAGAACAAAGCTGGCCTAACAGAAATACAGTGGGGCAAAAAAAGTATTTAGTCAGCCACCAATTGTGCAAGTTCTCCCACTTAAAAAGATGAGAGAGGCCTGTAATTGGCATCATAGGTAGACCTCAACTATGAGAGACAAAATGTGAAAAAAAATCCAGACAATCACATTGGCTGATTTGGAAAGAATTTATTTGCAAATTATGGTGGAAAATAAGTATTTGGTCACCTACAAACAAGCAAGATATCTGGCTCTCACAGACCTGTACCTTCTTCTTTAAGAGGCTCCTCTGTCCTGCACTCATTACCTGTATCAATGGCACCTGTTTGAACTTGTTATCAGTATAAAAGACACCTGTCCACAACCTCAAACAGTCACACTCCAAACTCCCTATGGTGAAGACCAAAGAGCTGTCGAAGGACACCAGAAACAAAATTGTAGACCTCCACCAGGCTGGGAAGACTGAATCTGCAATAGGCAAGCAGCTTGGTGTGAACAAATCAACTGTGGGAGCAATAATTAGAAAATGGAAGACATACAAGACCACTGATAATCTCCCTCGATCTGGGGCTCCACGCAAGATCTCACCCCGTGGGGTCAAAATGATCACAAGAACGGTGAGCAAATATCCCAGGACTACACAGCGCGAATGACCTGCAGAGAGCGGGGACCAACGGAGCAAAGGCTACCATCAGTAACACACTACGCCGCCAGGGACTCAGATCCTGCAGTGCCAGACGTGTCCCCCCTGCTTAAGCCAGTACATATCCGGGCCCATCTGAGGTTTGCTAGAGAGCATTTGGATGATCCAGAAGAGGATTGGGAGAATGTCATGTGGTCAGATGAAACCAACATAGAACTGTTTGGTAGAAACACAACTCGTCGTGTTTGGAGGAGAGAGAATGCTGAGTTGCATCCAAAGAACACCATACCTACTGTGAAGCATGGGGGTGGCAACATCATGCTTTGGGGCTGTTTCTCCACAAAGGGACCAGGACGACTGATCCATGCACAGGACAGAATGAATGGGGCCATGTATCATGAGATTTTGAGTGCAAACCTCCATCAGCAAGGGCATTTAAGATGACACGTGGCTGGGTCTTCCAACATGACAATGATCCCAAACATACCGCCTGGGCAATGAAGGAGTGGTTTCGTAAGAAGCATTTCAAGGTCCTGGAGTGGCCTAGCCAGTCTCCAGATCTCAACCCCATAGAAAACCTTTGGAGGGAGTTGAAAGTCCGTGTTGCCCAGCGACAGCCCCAAAACATCACTGCTCTAGAGGAGATCTGCATGGAGGAATGGGCCAACATACCAGCAACAGTGCGTGCCAACCTTGTGAAGACTTACAGGAAACGTTTGACCTCTGTCATTGCCAACAAAGGATATATAACAAAGTATTGAGATGAACTTTTGATATTGACCAAATACTTATTTTCCACCATAATTTGCAAATAAATTCTTTCCAAATCAGCCAATGTGATTGTCTGGATTTGTTTTCTTATTTTGTCTCTCATAGTTGAGGTCTACCTATGATGCCAATTACAGGCCTCTCTCATCTTTTTAAGTGGGAGAACTTGTACAATTGGTGGCTGACTAAATACTTTTTTGCCCCACTGTAGGTAGTCTACAGTTTTTGACATCCTTCTAAAAATGTCCCCCGAGGTGTAAATCTTAGCATAAGCAATAGGAAAGGTCTCTGTATAGCAGCTGTGACTGGGGAACTCTTTAGTCCTAACTCTTCTTACGGCTACCGATGGGGCCAAGTTGTAACATTGGTGCACATGAAAATAGTCCCAGTTGAGCCTGCAAGCAACAATAAGGCTACTAGATGGCTGTTTGGTCAATTCCTTAAGGGCTCATTCTCTTTAGTAGTAGATAGTAAATCCCCACAGCAGCAGATTACCTATCCCAGCGATATTGAACCTTACCGTCTGGTCACACACAGCGATCAGTCTACTCACTGCTCTGCACCCAGGTGACTCTGAATAGCAGTGTGCACTCTCTGGGCTCCCTCATGGGGAAGCTGTGTCCTGTTCTGCCTGGGAAAATGCAGCTCTTTCCCCTCATCCTGGCAGTCTTCCTCTGGGAAATGTAGTTCAAAGGCTCTTAATTACACTTGAATCTCTCTTCAATGGACTACAGTTCCCACTCTTCACTTCCTGCTCAGCAGCTCCCTCCTATTGCTGATATAGTTGTTAAAGGATAAGTTCACTTTTGCAAACATGTTACATGTTACACCTATTTTTAGGGTGGAACTTGTAACATGTCCCCATAGCCGCTGCCCGCCACCCCCCCCCCATCCTCTGACAGATAGTACAGGGAGTAATCTCCTCATACTATCTGTCAGATTTGAAAACCGCTCTGCTCACATGGCTGCATCATTAATTCGTGGACTTCTGTGAATGAATGAACTGCAAGTCCCAACAGCCTTATCGGCTGTCAGCTTGTAGTTTTCAATGAACTACCACGTCACTGTGGAGCATCCTGGTAGTTCATTGAAACTTCCTGTCAACATATCTGCTTGCTTGTACATCCCATACAACAAGCAGATATTCTGACAGGTCTGCAGGGATACTTCATGGCATCAGCGATCTACTGATCGCTGGTGCAATGCTTCCCAGGCTCCTGAACACCAAAATAATAAATGCATTTTTTTTACCTGTGAAAAATGTCCGTTTTATTATTTTTTGTCTAAAAGGTGAACTTATCCTTTAACCAGTTCAGCACCACAGGGCAGCAGCTGCAGAGAGCAGTGGCAGCCAGTGTTTCTCTCACTCTCCATTCTTAGCCAAGCACCTAGCTACATACAGTATTTCATAATGTCTGCTTGTTATGTTTAAATCAACAGGGTCGTGTGGACTTCCTACAGCTTATGCTGGATTCTAGAACAGAAGACATCAGTGGTGTGGACAAAGAACAAAAAGGTAAGCAGACTTTCATCATTATGTTTTCTTTTCTTTTACAAGGTGCTTAAATCTCTTAAAGTGAATAGTTATATTTTCATTTGTGGAACATTTGTATAAAAACCATTTTTAAGGTTTACAATTTTACATACTTTACATTCAATTTTGATAATACATACTTTTCATGTACAGATCTGTATTTTCAGATTTTAGTTGCTACTTTTTCAACATACCAGGAAACTTCTCTCACTCACAAGGACATTTTTCAAAAGGGTTGAAAATATCCCTGTGCAATATTTAGCATCTCTATTTATCTAAGATAAGAGTAATAAGGAATGCAGCGCTACATTCAAATCATAAAAATATGTGAATGTGGGATCCCAAAATATCAAATAAGTTAAATTAGATAAAATGTGACGGTGTTAACAATACATATCAATAAGTGCTCGTTAATAATATCATCAACACAAATAAAGTGGATAGCTCAAAACATGTGAAAAAACATATGAAAAAACCATATCCATATATATATGCATAAAACAAATTACACATATATATGATGTAATCACACGTGCCTGTTGTGAAGTGACATAACCATAATAATGGTACAAACGAAAATATATCTCAAAGTCCAAAAAATATATTATTGGTGACAAAACAGTAAACGGTGCTTCCAAATAATACTGTTAGTGACCATAGGTGAAACTCGTGCAGATTTCTGGGTGTGTACAAATCTGAGAATCCAACCACCATCTGGATTAGCCTCTCACCTCATCCCTTCGACCCTTGCGGATCAAAGAGCAGTAGTGGATCCCTCTCACGGATCCTCCAAGCACCAAAACACTCCAAAGGCAGTTTTCTCAGAATATAGTAATCCCACTCTGGCTCTTCTCCAGGAAAAGTTGTAGTATCAATCGGTCCTATAGGTGGAATACTGTACGCCGAAAGTCCTTGGTGAAGCCCCAGGAACAGCGCAGGGAAACACTTAATGTGAAATATTACAGGAGCCTTCTGCCTGAAAACCAAGCGGTGTTTACCTGTCCGATCTCCTCCTCCGATCTGTGCGGTACGATCCCCCCTCTCCGTTACAAGCTCCGACCCCCGGTGTGTGTGATCTCCAGCTCTCCCGGTGTGATCAGCGACGGCGCTCCTCCTCCTCCCGTGTCCACACACAGCAGAGATATTGAAAGCAGCAGGTCTCCCTAGTAAAACAGCACACAGTTTACACAGTAAGCACAAACAGCACACTGTTAATCATTTGTTCACCCCAGATGTTAACCCCATCCTGCCCAGTGACATTAGTACAGTGTCAGTGCTTTTTATTAGCACTGATCACTGTATTAGTGTCACGCTGCAATCTTGCAGTCCTGCTAATCATTAATCATCATTATTAGTATTAAAAAAAAAAAATCTGTATAAATACACCGCCATTTGTAGATGCTATAACTTTCACGTAAATCAATTAATATACACTTACTGGGATTGTTTTTAGCAGACATGTAGCAGAATACATTTTGGCCTAAATTTATGAAGAAGTTTAATTTTTTTATTGGATATGTTTTATAGCAAAAAGTAAAAAAATATTGTTTTTTGTTTTTCAAAATTGTCATCCTTTTTTGTTTTTAGCTCAAAAAATAAAAAAGCAGAGGTGATCAAATAGCACTGAAAGAAAGCTCTATTTGTGTGGGAAACAAATTCCATAATTTTCATTTATGTACAGCACTGCATGACTGCGCAATTGTCAGTTAAAGTAACACAGCGCCATATCACAAAAAATGGGCTGGTCAGGAAGGGGGTTAAATCGTCCAGAGCTGAAGTGGTCAATTATCTTCCAAAACCACTTTCAATCACCTGTCCTCCTGTAGTATGATCACAATTTAAAATATCATTGTTAGCACTACTAACCTTTGACTCCATCTTTACAGCAATGACAGATTCAGAAATAATGGCTCAATCCGTTGTTTTTATACTCGCTGGATATGAGACCACTAGTATGACACTGACCTATCTATTTCATAACCTGGCAACACACCCTGATGTACAGCTAAAACTGCAAGAGGAAGTTGACTCCTATCTTCCCAATAAGGTAAGAATCTACCTGATGATAAGCAGTTTTACATCTGTAATTTACAATAAGCAAATTAGTGTTTCTAATTCTCCTAACCTACATATCATGACTACTACATGCCTACAATCTTTATGTGAATGATAAAGCAAAGTGCATATCTGACTTTTAGTTTAGAAGTGTTTTTTTACTCTTTTGCTTTTATAATGTGGCACACCCAGATGAAAGTATATTTAGATTAGTAGTATAATATTCCAATAAGATCAAGGTAGGTTTATGTTGGCAGTAATCATTTCAGTGGAGCAGTTTTCTGACAATAACACAATTCCTAAAAATGAACCTGGGGTTTTCGAAGGGGGTAGGGGCAATTATATTTTCATTTTTCTACATTTTGTTATTTGGTACCTTCTCAGTTACTTCTGCAGCAGTAGATCATTTATGGTGGTAGTCTATTGTGTGCTATTATCAGCAAGCAGTAAACAGATCAAATTGATTGAAGCTGGCTCTAAATACTAAAGGGAAGTTGCATTTGTAGGCATGATCAGACCAGGGCCTTAGATAATTTTTTGCCTGGTTGTCATGCACAACTGCTCCAGATTCTGTCTTGATAAATTCCCCCCAATGTCCCCACATGAAAGGTAATACTAACTGTATGGATACTAAATGTGTGTCATAATTTTATGAAATGTTTTTAAGAGGAAAAAGAAAACTGTGAACCTGTTGCCTACCACAATGGAGTAATTTTTATCTATTAAAAACATTTCATCAACTTTCTTAGGACACAGTTTACAGGTTAGAAAAAGTGCACTGCCTGCCATAAGATGCTGCCCTTAGAACCTGCTCAGTTATAGTGCGCAAACTGAACAGATACAAAGTGAGTGTGCTGCCTACCTGCCACAAGATGGTGCCCTTTGCACCTGCTCAGTAAGGTTGGCTATTATAGCGCAAAGGGCACAATTTTGCGTCAGGCAACGCACTCAATTACTTTTTTTAACCTTTACAGATCCTTCACAGGATGGTGCGCTTTAATAACCAACCTTAATGGGCAAAGGGCGCTATCTTGTTGAAGGCAGGACACTCACTGATTTTTTTGTTAACCCGGCATATAGGACAGGAGAAGTGGTACTGTGCAGAGTCCATAAATACAGAATAAGGACAGATACCAAGAATTACACACAGCATATAGAATAGGAGAGGTGGGACTGTGCAGAGTCCATACATACAGAATAAGAACAGATACCGATAACTATATCCGGCATACAGGACAGGAGAAGTGGTACTGTGCAGAATCCATATATACAGAATAAGAACAGATACCAAAACTTACACCCAGCATATAGGACAGGAGAAGTGGTACTGTGCAGAGTCCATACATACAGAATAAGAACAGATACCGAGAATTACACCCAGCATAAAGGCAGAATCCACAGAGAAGTGGTGGTACTGTGCAGAGTCCATACATACAGAATAAGAACAGATACTGAGAATTACACCCAGCATAAAGTACAGGAGAAGTGGTACTGTGTAGAGTCCATACATACAGAATAAGAACAGATACTGAGAATTACACCCAGCATAAAGGACAGGAGAAGTGGTACTGTGTAGAGTCCATACATACAGAATAAGAACAGATACCGAGAATTACACCCAGCATATAGGACAGGAGAAGTGGCACTGTGTAGAGTCCATACATACAGAATAAGAACAGATACCGAGAATTACACCCCGCATATAGGACAGGAGAAGTGGCACTGTGTAGAGTCCATACATACAGAATAAGAACAGATACCGAGAATTACACCTGGCATACAGGGCTTTACCCAGAACACAAACCACTACCACATGCTTAACCACTTGCTTACCAAGCACTTTTACCCTCTTCCTGTCCAGGCCAGTTTTTAGCTTTCTGTGCTGTCTCATTTGAATGACAATTGCGCGGTCATGCAACACTGTACCCAAACAAAGTTTGTATAATTTTTTTGAGACAGATAGAGCTTTCTTTTGGTGGTATTTAATCACCGCTGTTTTTTTTTTATTTTTTGCTAAACAAACTAAAAAATAAAAAAAAAAATCTTTTTTCTTAGTTTTCTGTTATACAATTTTGTAAATAAGTAATTTTCTTCATTCACTGATGTGCGCTAATGAGGCTGCAGTGATGTGCTCTGATAGGCGGCATTGATGAGGCATCACTGGTGGGCACTGACAGGCACTGAAAGGCAGAACTCATATGGCACTGATAGGTGACACTGGTGTGCACTGATTGATATGCGGCACTGACTGGCAGCTCTGATGGACACTGATATGTGGCATTGATGTGCACTGATGGGCTCTGATATGTGTCATTGATGGGCACTGACAGGTGGCAATTATGGGCACTGAAATGCAGCACTGATGGGGCTACACTGACAATTAGGGTACAGATGACCAGTGCCCTGATGATCGGTGTAGATGTCCCCTCTGAGGATTGCCGCTTACCGGCATTTCCTATTTACATGCAATCAGCTGTGATTGGACACAGCTGATCACAAGAGAGTCTGTGTCATTGGCTCTTTACTGTGAACGATGACCGCTGTATCCCAGGGACACAGCGCACCACAGATTGCCCCCGGGAGCGCACATGCGCAGCTAGAGTGGGATCTTATCAGACAGCAATTTGTATCTAGATGTGTAAGTCCTTATGCACACTGGACGTTTTTACAGCTGCTGTTTTTGGCTTCTGGCATTTTTTTCTATAGCCAGTAAACTCTCCAGCATGTTATCCTATGTGTTCATCAGCGTTTTTTGGCAGATGCGTTTTCCGGTGGGTTTCAAGAGGAGTTTTTTAGCTGTAAAAATGCTCTAACGCTGCTAAAAGCTGAAAAATGCTAAAAGCTGAAAAACACTAAAAAAAGCGCGTCTATCTGGCATTTGTGAGCGTTTTTTGAGCCTGAAGATTTTGTGGGAGTATAACTTTGCTAAAAAACGCAAACACTGAAAAACACTTAAAAAAGATGAAAAAAAGCTAATGCAAAAATGCTACAAAACGCAAAAAAAACTCACATTTGTATTGCAGCATTCTACAGCTAATGCTGCTGGCGTTTTTATAACGTCCAGTGTGCATGAGGCCTAAAAAGTATCAATCTTATCAGGCAGCAATAGGTTGTCTCTGGCCTCCTCTAGGCTGCCTGTTAATGCTCATAGGATATCTTGATGCTATCAGAAAGGCATCACAGGCATTTCCCATACAACCACAATGTGGAAACCTTATGGTGTAATTGTGCTACATGGTCCTAAGAGCTGCTACATTTAAAAACACTATTAGAAAGACAGTGGTTAGGCTCCTTATACTGAATTTTCACATCTGAAAACAGTCAGACTATGGATTCTTCACCAAAATTCATCAAATAGAATTCTGAATAAAATGCGGAATGGAAGCCTGTACATGGGAAAAGAAAAATAATTGTGTTTTTTTTTTTTTAAAGTGATTGGTCCAGAAAATTCATATTGTCACCTGTCACTACCTAGCCAGAGACATTTCACGGAGCCTGTAAGGAATGATATGGGAGCTGCTGTAGTAGGATAGAAGTCCTTTAAGTTTGGATCCCACCTCAGGTTATTTGGCAACCTCCATCTGTCAATCACTGTCATTTAAATAAAGGTATTTTTATGTGAATAAAATAGGTGGGTGAAGCTCCAGCTGAGCTGGTGGACAGCAAAAAGAGAAAAAGAATGAATTATTCTTTTGGTGAGCCAACAGTCAGAACAAGGTGGCTGCAGACAGCACTGGGGTGTGTATTGCCCTTTTGAGGGGGAGCTATTGGACTGATCACTTTGGAGGGGATAGAAGAACTGAACTATAGCCTAAATCTGGAGAACATATTTTGATAACAAAGCAGATGTTGGCTTGGGTTCCACAAAGAAGGCTAGGTGTTTTTGACCTTTTTGAATCTGAATCTTCAGATGTGCCTGTGGCGTTATAACTGGCTGAAACATATCAACTGACTTTTAATGTAGCCTTTACACTCTGGTTTGTTGAATAAAGACAAGATTTTAGAGCTACGTTGGTTGTGGAAATCAGGTTTATGGCGTTATAACTGCCACTAATTTATGAATCTTCTGTTGATTTGTATGGTAAAGTTTTGATTGCTCCTTATGGAATCCAGACTATACTAACATTATTTACAAACTGGGGAGTTACTCTTGAACATGGACATGTGTACAGTGATAGAGGGATTTGTGCTGGCTAACGAGAGAGAGCTCAGTAGTTGGACTGTATCCTGGTTTGGCCAGGCTGGGCCTTGCCTAGAATCCCCAAGGGTGTTCTATCTCACTGTTCTGTCCCGCAGAGTAATGGTATCTCTGGAGAGCCCCATGCAAAAGGATTGCAGTGGTGACATGTTGTCTGGCTCAAGGCAAAAATAAAGGCGTTAAATTCCTACATTACCCTGCTATTGCTTACCTATTTTTAAAAGTGCCAGTTCTAAAGCTGTCTTCTTGATCCTGACATCACTAGCTAGGAATGATTATGTAGGATGACAGCTCTGGTTTTTTAGGTTTTGCTGTCTGCCTGTTCTAGGTCAGTCACTCACTAGGTATCAGAGCCAGAATCAGGATGAGGGACTGGAGACTGGACCTTTAAACCCAAGTTAGAAATGGAAACTTTTGTTTATTCTCACAGGTCCATTTCAAATAGCACTCACATAGGTTTTTAGAAAGATCTGACCACAAAAATAATTTTCTCCCCACAAGATTTGTACATATACATAAAATGCAAGTATTAGCTGAATCAGTCTCACCCAGACCAGTAGACTTTTCCCCATGAAAATTTTTTTGGTTATTTTTTGACTTACTCACTATAGATTTTTTTTTGTATCCCTCTGGGTTGTCACATAGGCAAATATAGAAAGGAATGGGGAAAGACAATGATAAATTAATTTTACAGAACAAATATTTCACAGTTCTCAGTTTGGACTTGAAGCATGTTACATTGATTTATAATGTAAACAGCATGAATTTACTGCTGCCATGTAATGGAATCAACATTAAGTGCATAATGCTGGAAAATATGAGGCTGGTTTAAGATACATAAAATAAAAACAATGGGCAAAGAAAAAAGTATTTGGAAGATAAAAGTTCTGTCCATTTATTTCAGTAGATCTAATCCCAATAGCTGTTTACAGTTTTTAAATTGGCAGCTTTAATTAAAGGCATACCTTTTGATCTTGTCATGAAGGTCCATGTTCATGCATTTCCTTTTGACCTGGGGTGACAACTGCCCAGTTGTGATCTTACAATGTTACCTGTTACATGCGCCTCTGTTTTAAGAGCACAAGCAACCATGCAAGCACAAATTCCACAGGCAAAGTTAACCATTGCCACTATCAGGAAGCCAGTGCAGAGAAATGATTTGTGATTGATACTTGAGTGAGTATATGCAGACAAGAAGTTGCTAAAAAAGCCTGGATGGAATCAGCAGCACTGAGAGGCAATAAAAGCATACAAAGGTAAAAATTGCTTTTTTTGGTTGTAAATGTATATGATGAAGAGGCCTTAGCAAACTAAATGACAACATTTGGATTTACATAATGTGTGAGTTTTTTTAATTGCCTGAGTGGACTTATTTAATGTCACCCTCTTAGGCCAGTGCCACTTATGACATTCTGATGCAAATGGAATATCTGGATATGGTGATTCAGGAAACTCTCCGAATGTACCCTCCTGCAGGAAGAGTAGAGAGGGTTTCAAAGAAAACTGTTGAAATCAATGGTGTTACCATACCACAAGGAATGGTCTGTATGATCCCAGCATACGTGTTGCATAATGACCCAGAATACTGGACCGAGCCCGAGGAATTTCGGCCTGAAAGGTATAGTTAAGGATATACTGTATACTGTTCATAAATTTCCATCCTTAGTGGAATCTTACTGACCCATTTCCCTGCTTCAAAATTAAAATTAAGATGCTGGTTAAGATAGTACCCATAAGACCTATCATAGGTATAATAACCATTATACATCCTAGCCAAACAGACTACCTGAATAAACCCAGATCACATATAGTAAAAATACAAGTAGCTGCATGCTGTCAAAAAGGAATTTTACTCATTCTGCGACTCTCCCTTTGGACTGCACTTTACGGAGGTTACAATTTGGCACCATATTTGTCAGATATGTTTAACTTCTATACCAGGGGTACTGTGTTAAAGTTCATGACGGTCTGGTCAGTAACATTTTAATCCTGCAGAAGACCAAATCTCATTTCTGTTCTATGATCAGATCCTTCACATCACAGCTCTGCCACCCTCCTTTATATCACAGCCCCCTTCACATCAGTGTCTTCAGTCTCAGTTTTCTTCTTCACATCACAGACCCCCCTTCACAGCATAGATTTCCCCTTCATAATGAGTGTCCTCAGTCCCTTCTTCACATCAGTGTCCTCAGTCCCCACTTGACATCACAGTCCCCTTCACAACACAGTGCACCTTGTAATCACAGCCCCTCCTCACTTAAATTCCCCCTTATATCACAGTCTCCCTTGCAATCACAGGGACCACCTCCTCACATCACCCTCTCCCTTACATCATAGCCCCCTTTGCAACCAAAGACCCCCCTCACCTCAAAGGCCCCCTTACATCACAGTCCCCCCTTACATCACTGCTCCCCTTGTTGCAATCACAACCCCCCTCAATCTCACAGCTTCATTCCTTCCTCACATCACAGCCTCCCCCCTAAAACACAGCCCCTCTTGCAATCACAGACCCCCTTCTCATTTTACAGCTCCAGCCCCTCCTCACATCACAGTCCCCCATTAAAGCACCCCCCCCCCCTGGCAATTGCAGGTCTCCCCCCTACCTTCACAGTCCTATCTTAACACAACAGTGCAGAGAGTGCAGAGAGTAATGCAGGCCTCCATAGAGGGTGGAAGCTGCCTAAACCTTTATGTTAACAAGCAAGTGATTGGTTGCTAGGATTGCCTTGCATCCTAGCAACCAATTACCAGCTAGTTAAGTTGGGCAGCTCCTGCTTCTCATGTAGATCTGCCATATCTCCTGACCTCTGCCCTGTTGTGAGCTTAAATAGCAGCAGCGGCTATAGCAGCAGATGGGCAAAGATACACAGGAGAGGAGTCCAATCAGACTGCTAAGTGGTGTGGCTTCAGTCCGGACAGGACTGCCACTCAATTATTTTATAAAGTGATTCTTAAAGTATATTAATCACTAAACCGTGCCAATTGATGCTTTTAAATATTCAATATTATATCCAATCAGCTGCCACTTTAAATTACTATGTAAAACTTATTCCAAAAAATACCACTCCTATTATTAGTGATAATTAGCGGCGCATTTTTTATATATATATATATATATATATATATATATATATATTTTTTTTTTTTTTTTTTTTTGTAATTCATTATTGATTACACTGGACTTATATTTTACTGTGTTTTGTGGGCACTATTATAACATATTTGTCACTTAATATTTGTGTAAATGCGTTTGCACATAGAGACCATCAAAAGGAATTAGTGTGACACATATAATGCTCCACTAATTATCACTAATATTAGGAGTGGTATTTTTTGGAATAAGGACTTCCACTCAACCCATGTCTGGACCGTAGTCCACCATCTAGTGACACCTATTCTATACTGTAACAAAGGTCATAATGAACAGCTAGACATTACAATGAAATTCAATAGCAGAGGAGCCCCATACAGCTACATTGAGGGTTTTGAAAACCAGGGCCTCTGCTTCAATAGCCTCCGGGAAATGACAGAATTCTATACTTGAGAGACTAACAGATTCATAGAGGCTCGGTTGACCCATATTTCCTTTTGTGCATATTCCATTTTGACCTTAAACTGGAAGAGGTGAAGCTGTTTACTTCTTAATATCAGTCCCCAGTGAAAACTTTTTAAACAATTATCTTATATGAACTTACATAATCAAAAATGTGGTCAACCAAAAACCTGCAATGGATTATGTTTACCAAATTTGTTTTTGCCCAGATTTGTTTTTTTTTTTTTTTTTTTTTTTTTTTTTTAGAAGTATATGTATGCAAGTAGTTTGTGATCTTATGAAAAAAAACCATGCTGGTAGTGCATAGAATAGATCTTAAACATAAACAGTAGTAATATAGTATAGTATAAAATACTGTAATGTATTACCATTTCTTGTATACCTGATCTGATACAGCTTTCCAAGCTTCTTTTAAAATATTAGTCACCCTTTTATAGCCTAAACAAAGACGACTGCAGCCCATAGTAAGTAACCATTAGGAAGTACTATCTTTTTCTACAGGTTTAGCAAGGAAAACAGAGAAAGTCATACTCCATACACATTCATTCCCTTTGGAGATGGACCACGAAACTGCATTGGAATGAGGTTTGCATTGCTAAGTATGAAAGTAGCAATAACGGCCATCCTCCAGCACTTCACATGTCGACCCTGTGAAGACACTCTGGTAAGCTAAATTTCTGCACTTGTTATAAAAAAAACTAAATCCCCCAGATTTCTTAACCATTCTCTACTCTTTCCAATACCAAAAAAGTGAATACTTTAATTGTAAGCATTCTAGCTGTGTGTTTTACTAGTGATTATTTGGAGAACATTTGTAATGTGATTTGCTATCTCTCAGAACCATTAACATACAATATTTCTTTACATTAAGCCAAACTATCGAAGAGTAAAGCTGAACACACAAGTTCAACTAAATGCATAACTGAAATACACATACTGTATGCACACCTCACAACTTTCCCGACTTGGAGGAACGGTTTCTTTGTTAGGACCAAATCCCTCTGTCCCTTGTGCAGCCTTAGTTGTCCCTCTTTTTGGTACATCTCTATACAAATATACTATTTTACTACAAAAGTGTTATCCTGCACTATATTTTTTTATCCAACCTCTATATTACTGCATTTGGTAAGCCAATATCAAGGAAAAATAGAGGTGAAAAAAAATTGATGTAACCAATCATTTTCTGCATAATAGATCTTTGTGGTCCGTCGAACTGGGGCTTTGGCAGGGACATGTCCTTTGCCTACATTTGTGTTCTAAAAGCTGTCCCTCTTTATTATTTCAGAAAGTTGGGAGATATGCATATGGGATCTATTTTACCTGCAAAACTGTTAGCATTTGTGTCCACTAGTCTGAGATTTACACAATCTTGCCACATAGCACAACCAACCAGGTGATCTAACATTTCTCTGCTCCAGATAAGCAACACAGGTCACTTTCCTGTTCCCAGTCTGTGACTGTACAGCAAGGGAGCAGCAACACACTGATGAGGTTGTCTATCTCCTGCTGTCAGTGTGTTCTTTGTCACAAATGTAGCATATGAATGCAGTGGGGCTGATTAGCCTAAAGTATGGTAATTTTCCTCCACAGTCTGCCAGCATGCTGACATCACATCATAAATGTATTTTAAATGCAATCAGAATATTAAATACATTTGTTTGTTTTTTTTTTCAATAAATACATAGCTGCATTCATTAGTATATTTTTTATATATTTGCCTGGATATTAGTTTTAAAGTGGCTTTAAACCTTTGAAATTAAATAATATCCTCACATAGTATGTACTTGCCTCAGTGGATAGCATTAGTTGTGGACCTGTCTGTTATCTCCTTCCTCTGCTATCTGTCAGTTTATCCCAACACCAGGCAATCCATGATGACTCTACCCCCCCAGCACACAGCAGGTAATTGACAGCTTCAGCTGGTCAGGTTTCCCTATGAGATTTTTGTAGAGGGGAGTGTGTCCTTTCTCCCCACTCAGGTCTCATATTACACTCAGCTCACTGCTGTGCAGTGTGTGACACCAGTTCCCCACCCCCCATCTCCTGATAGCTGAGAAATATTTTCTAAACTGTGTACTCTAGAAGGCTGTAGAGAAGAGAGGCCTGCATAAAAACAGGAATCACTTATGTAGGAGGATTTAATTTATCACTGTGTATCACCCTAGTCTAATCACTTCAGGGCCTATGTAAGGGTTTATTATCATTTTAAGCAACAGCATTCTGATAGTGGCAGTGGTATGAAGAAAGTAAACTTGCATTACAACAGGCAGTCTGCCACTCCACTGACTGTTCTGAAAAAGGAGATACCTCACATACTAATTATTATAAGTCTACCTGTCAAGGTCCTACCTTTTCCCAGAGGTTATGCTACTCCATGTGCTGGCATCCATCTTGGATTTATGCTGAGCATGGTGGGAAGCTTTTATGCCTTCAGGTCTCTGAGGTCCATCCCCCAGAGGGGTGTGGCTGAGTACATATAAGCCTGTGATCCGCACATGCTCTTTGCACTTGTGTCTTGTGTCTTTGTCTTGCTACAGCTCTGTGTATACGCTCGTGACTCTTCTGGTATTCTGACTCGGCTTGTGACTAGACCATTCTCTGTGTTTTCCTTCGATCTGACCCTCCGTTGCTGTACCCGGCCCGTGACCTGTGATTCTCTGTCTACTGTTCTGTACTGTTTTGTCTCGTTGTTGTTGACCCAGCTTGCCTGACTACGCTATTGTCATTCTCACCAGCTACACGCCATTGGCGGCGGCCATTACCGCAGCCGGGGTGTCTCGTGGGCCGCGACCTGGTTCCTGGCTGCGTCAAGTCCATCCCCACCATCAGGGGCCCTGGTGAAGGGCAGCCTGGGACTTAGACTCCGTGCCCTGAGGGACTTCGGTCTGTTGGTGGTGGTTGTCGTCAGCCAGTGCGTTACCCTGCCACTAGGCCTACCTGTCCGTTCCACAGCCCTGCCCTGACACTACCTCCACCATATGCATTTTTTGTATAGTGCAGTGCATATTAGATGTGTTTTGCCTGCATATTACATGTATTGACATTCATACTATGGAAAACATATCTTGTTGGAACAAGCACTAAGATGCATATAAAGTAAGTGAACACAGCCGATGAGGAAGATAAATCAAAATAATAAATTAAATTAGAAATTTGTAAATCATTCCACCCAAAATTCTTTATTGTAGAATATATTTTGTTTTCCTGGCTTTCTTCTATGGTGCTTAAACATTTGTTTCCTATTATTCTGTGTACAGGTCCCAATGGAGTTCAACACTCAAGGTTTCATGCAACCCAAGAAAACCAATTATTTTGAAATTTGTATCTCGATCTTGAGAAGAGAACTCCCAAATACAGAATGTGTCCTCTAACTGTAGATTACCTTAGATTGTACACCCCTTGAGGGTTAGGGACTGATTTGAATGTATAATAAAAATATGTAAAGCGCTGCGTAAATTGACGGCGCTATATAAGTACCTGAAATAAATAAATAAATAAATATTGCTTTTCTTATGTTCTTAATAAAAACTACAAATAAACAGAAGCAAAACTGAAAAACCAGTATGTGATATACAGAGTGCACAGACACTTCCAAAATTACTTTTATGACATTTATTTTTCTGTCACCAGCAGCTAATTTATTTCAAGTGCTTATCACTTCTAAGTTCTCATTTTCTGGTAGAAAAGACTTTGAGAACCTGGAGCATGTCTACGCATTATTATGTGTAGAGAAGACCTTACAATGGAACAAAACAAATCCCTGTAGGCAAACTAAATACTTTACCTAGCCAGGATTTACACAAACTGTTTTTGGAGAATGAGATTTTCTCTCTTTTGTGTAGAAGTTTTTTTCACTATGTCCTTTATCAAGCCGATTTCTAAATAGAGAGGTCCAACTTTATTATAACCACCTGGGGCTATCTCACTGTTTCAATCATAAAAACTGCAGTGTATGCAACTATTTAGATGTGAATAAAACTTCGAAAATTTCTCACCAATAATAAAATTCCTATTAGAAAGGATGCCTGGAATTTATCTTTGAGCTGTCAAGCAGAGAGCCAGTCGCACCTCCAGCAAGTAAGAACTCCATGGTATACAGAAGGCCTGCAGATTGTCATAGTACAAGGAACAACATTTGTATCTGCTGACTAAAACATAAATATATATTTTCTTTGTAACCAGAGCAAAATTTTAGGTTTATTTATGTACCAATTTGCTCAATGCACTTTGCATACCAAAATGATTATCACATAATTTTCTGTGCACATATGAGGCATTTCATAATTTGTTTTTAATCCCTTTGTGCCGGAGCCTTCCCACCCTTTAAGAGTTTCAGAAGTCGGGAGGTGGGGCGGGGGTTTAGGGTCATGTGATTCGCTGTCACGGCAGCCACATGATTGGAAACGATCACGATCGCAAAGGGAGATCGGGACCTTTCCGTGAGTCACGGACATATGTGCTGGGAGCGCGCAGGGTGCGCGCACTCAGCACATATGTATTTTCAAATGATACGCAAATATGCGGCCGCTCGGCGTCAAGGCCCAGATGCTGAAAGGTTCCATATTTGCGTCTAGGGGTTAAACATACTCGGAATGTTTTTGTGTAATAAGCAGATAAATGAACAAGATGCATAACATATTTTGCATAACTGATATGATTTCAGATATTTTCTCCTGTTTATCCTTTAAAGTAGAACTATAAGCAAAACTTTTTCTTTTTTTAAATTTTGGATAGAGTAAGGGAGGGTTATAACTCTTATCAGATTTTTTTAACCCATTTTAGTCCCATTGCGGAGATTTTCCTTCACTTCCGGTGCCATAGTCAAACAGGAAGTGGGAGGAAATCCCTGCAAATGAAGGGAATTTCTTGGGGACCCCAGCTTAGCAGAACTAGTGTCCCCACTGGAAGATTCCCCCTCTAATACTCCGGTATGGATGGCAGATCAGATTGTGAGGTGGTCACATACCTAACAACCTTTGTGGGAAGAACCCAAATTTTAGGATTTTCTTTTACTTTCAGTTTCAATGATAATGGTAAACAGGACAAATAGAGAGGATGAATCTCCCTAATAGGGGCACAGACTGCAATAAAAATTGACAAGTGTCAATCCCTCTGCGCACTATCCAAAACTATAAAAAACATTTTGCCTTTATTTATACTTTAATGCAGTGACACCAAATATGTGTAGGTTTTCATACATTTGTCAGTGCTATATGGTTGATAAACAAGTATGTACAGTCAGGTCCATAAATATTGGGACATCGACACAATTCTAACGTTTTTGGCTCTATACACCACCACAATGGATTTGAAATGAAACGAACAAGATGTGCTTTAACTGCAGACTGTCAGCTTTAATTTGAGGGTATTTACATCCAAATCAGGTGAACGGTGTAGGAATTACAACAGTTTGCATATGTGCCTCCCACTTATTAAGGGACCAAAAGTAATGGGACAATTGGCTTCTCAGCTGTTCTATGGCCGGGTGTGTGTTAATCCCTCATTATCCCAATTACAATGAGCAGATAAAAGGTCCAGAGTTCATTTCAAGTGTGCTATTTGCATTTGGAATGTTTTGCTGTCAACTCTCAAGATGAGATCCAAAGAGCTGTCACTATCAGTGAAGCAAGCCATCATTAGGCTGAAAAAACAAAACAAACCCATCAGAGAGATAGCAAAGCCATTAGGCGTGGCCAAAACAACTGTTTGGAACATTCTTAAAAAGAAGGAACGCACCGGTGAGCTCAGCAACACCAAAAGTCCCAGAAGACCACGGAAAACAACTGTGGTGGAAGACGAAGAATTCTTTCCATGGTGAAGAAAACACCCTTCACAACAGTTGGCCAGATCAAGAACACTCTCCAGGAGGTAGGTGTATGTGTGTCAAAGTCAACAATCAAGAGGAGACTTCACCAGAGTGAATACAGAGGGTTCACCACACGATGTAAACCATTGGTGAGCCTCAAAAACAGGAAGGCCAGATTAGAGTTTGCCAAACGACATCTAAAAAAGCCTTCACAGTTCTGGAACAACATCCTACGGACAGATGAGACCAATATCAACTTGTACCAGAGTGATGGGAAGAGAAGAGTATGGAGAAGGAAAGGAATTGCTCATGATCCTAAGCATACCACCTCATCAGTGAAGCATGGTGGTGGTAGTGTCATGGCGTGGGCATGTATGGCTGCCAATGGAACTGGTTCTCTTGTATTTATTGATGATGTGACTGTGACTGCTGACAAAAGCAGCAGGATGAATTCTGAAGTGTTTCGGGCAATATTATCTGCTCATATTCAGCCAAATGCTTCACAACTCATTGGACGCCGCTTCACAGTGCAGATGGACAATGACCCAAAGCATACTGCAAAAGCAACCAAAGAGTTTTTTAAAGGAAAGAAGTGGAATGCTATCCAATGGCCAAGTCAATCACCTGACCTGAATCCGATTGAGCATGCATTTCACTTGCTGAAGACAAAACTGAAGGGAAAATGCCCCAAGAACAAGCAGGAACTGAAGACAGTTGCAGTAGAGGCCTGGCAAAGCATCACCAGGGATGAAACCCAGCGTCTGGTGATGTCTATGCGTTCCAGACTTCAGGCTGTAATTGACTGCAAAGGATTTGCAACCAAGTATTAAAAAGTGAAAGTTTGATTTATGATTATTATTCTGTCCCATTACTTTTGGTCTCTTAACAAGTGGGAGGCACATATGCAAACTGTTGTAATTCCTACACCATTCACCTGATTTGGATGTAAACACCCTCAAATTAAAGCTGACAGTCTGCAGTTAAAGCACATCTTGTTCATTTCATTTCAAATCCATTGTGGTGGTGTATAGAGCCAAAAATGTTAGAATTGTGTCGATGTCCCAATATTTATGGACCTGACTGTATCTCTTAGATTGTAAGCTCCAAGGAGCAAGGTCCGCCTAACCCTCCTGTATTGAACTGTATTGTTGCTGTATTGTCTCCCTTTATATTGTAAAATACTGAGCAAACTGTTGGCGCTAAATAAATCCTGTATAATAATAATATTTTACATTTCAAGAACATGGGCATTTCCCATTTTTGTGTTCTGAGTTCATTGGCTGTAATTCAAGAATTATTAACTTTTTTAAATATACTTTTTTAACACTATGACTTTGCTTGTCACATGAATTGCCCTCTTACCTCACAGCTCAAGCTAGGAAAAGTTTATTGCTGGGCATCGGCTAATCATGATTGCAAGCAGGTGCTAGTGAGGTATCATTGAATATATTTATGCGTTAATAGTGTTAATTGCACTGTATAGTTATACAGTCTAGTTTTACAAAAAATATTTTGCGCTAGTAAATATAAAAATATATATCCGTGAATCAAAAACATATATAAATAATATTAAAATAAAAAAAGTTCAAATGAATAGTCCACACTTTAAAATATGTGACACAAAAAAAAAATGTGCACAAAAATATATAAATGTGACAATACCACCACCAAAAATGCTGAATAAACTCACCAGAGCTATAAAACTAAAACATGTATTGCTCTGGGAGCGATAGTATTAATAGAGTGATAAGTCATTCATAGATGTATCTTCAAGGAATGATATTCTACAGAACCCAGATCCACATAGACCAATTTCAGATGGAGCAAATACTTTCAAATCAAATATCATCAAGGAAATCCACTTCTCCAAAAAAGCCACCCTTAATCGTATCCAAGGAGGAAGATGCCAGACACTCGGAAGAAACAAAAGAACTTCATGGTGCAGTATTATTAAAAACCAGCTTCCTTTATTAGGTACTCATTGCACTTAACTCAGAAGGTGTCCCAGCCGACGTTTTCCTACGAGCTACTGCGCATGTGCTGAGTAGCTGGGTCCGTTTTTTGTGATTGCTGTATGCTGTTGACGCTGGTGTCAGCTGGGACACCTTCTGAGTTAAGTGCAATGAGTATCTAATAAAGGAAGCTGGTTTTTAATAATACTGCACCATGAAGTTCTTTTGTTTCTTCCGAGTGTCTGGCATCTTCCTCCTTGGATACGATTAAGGGTGGCTTTTTTGGAGAAGTGGATTTCCTTGATGATATTTGATTTGAAAGTATTTGCTCCATCTGAAATTGGTCTATGTGGATCTGGGTTCTGCAGAATATCATTCCTTGAAGATACATCTATGAATGACTTATCACTCTATTAATACTATCACTCCCAGAGCAATACATGTTTTAGTTTTATAGCTCTGGTGAGTTTATTCAGCATTTTTGGTGGTGGTATTGTCACATTTATATATTTTTGTGCACGTTTTTTTTTTTTTTGTGTCACATATTTTAAAGTGTGGACTATTCATTTGAACTTTTTTTATTTTAAATATTATTTATATATTTTTTTGATTCACGGATATATTTTTATATTTACTAGCGCAAAATATTTTTTTGTAATATTTGTTACACTTTATTTATTTATGGTGGATTTTTGCAGCTGGTATATCATAATAAGTGATTTATATATATTTTTTTTCTTTTTTTCATAGGCGCCATTATATATATTTTTTCCATTTATACAGTCTAGTTTTCCCCAGGATGGGAAGGGGTTATTGTGTATAGACTATTTTACTGGCCTTCTGGATTCTACCCCCTGCTACATAAATACAAGGGGAGGGTTCAGAGCACTCTCTCTTTCTCATGGGATTTACAGAGGAAGGACTGCTGCAATATGCAAGCCTCACTGGAGCACCTGGCCCCTTTCTGGGTTACACTGCTGGGATTCTCCCTGGACTAGGAACCTACCAATAATGGACTTTTACTGAATGGGCTTTGCCTCTCTGGAAGGTATGAACCTGGGCAGCCTGCATTAGTTAGTTAGGACTGGACTCTTTCATGTACAGTGTACTGTTGAACTGTGCTGCTGAATGCTCAATAAAGTTTCCTTAACCACTTGCCCTCGTGAGGATTTACGACCCTTCCTGACCAGGCCATTTTTTACGTTACATTACTTTGACAATTGCGTGGTCATGCAACACTGCACCCAAATAAAATTTCCGTCCTTTTTTTTTCCCACGAATAGAGCTTTCTTTAGGTGGTATTTGATCGCTTGCGCATTTTTTATTTCTTGCGCTATAAAAAAAAGCCCCAACAATTTTGAGAAAAAAAACAATATTTTTGACTTTTTGCTATTAAACATGTCCAGTAAAAAAAATTAAAAAAAAAAAAAATCAAATTTCATCAAATTTAGGCCAAAATATATTGTGCTACATGTCTTTGCTAAAAAATAATCCCAAGACGTGTAAATTAATTGGTTTACGTGAAAATTATAGCGTTTACAAATGGCAGTATATATACTGGAATTTTTTTTATTTTTGCTAATAATGGCGGCGATCAGCGAGTTATAGCGGGACTTCGGCAGGCATTCTGAAACTGGGGGGAACTGACTAATAAAAAGCACTAACACTGTACTAATGGCACTGGGCAAAACGTGATTAACATGTGGGGTGATCAAAGGGTTAACTGTTTGCTGTGAGCGGTTTTACTATGGGCTGTGTTAGTGCTTTCAACTGTAAGCACACTGCTTTGCATGGCTCTGCTATGCAGAGCCATGCAAAGCAGTGTGCAGGAGCTGACAGGGGAGAGAACTGTATTGTTTGCATACAGTTCTCTCCCTCTGTCAGTAATGCTCCACGATCACCGGGTGCCAATGAGTAATCACCACCCGGGATCCGGTGATTGACAGCCGGGGCCGCGAATAGCTACCTGGAAATGCAAAATCATGTATATATAAGTAATATTGCGCACCCCTGCCGCCCTGTAGTAGTATATCTGCTATAGGCCGGCGGGAAAGCGGTTAAGTGGAACTTCACCCTCTCAGTCAACATTTACTAATTTTAGTCCTTTTGCTGCTAGAATTAGTAAATATGGGGCCTGGGGTGGCCAGTGGGTGGATGGCCCCCATGCTTCGGCATATATATTTTATAATATTTGTTGGCACATTTCATGTGTGCCCACCATTAGAAGTGGGTGGATGCAGGGCGGTGTATTCTAATGGTGAGCATACCACACACACTTTTTCTGGCAGAGATTTTGTCTCTTTTTTTTCATTCAGCCCACAGGCTGCATAAAAAAAAAAAAAGAACATGGCATACGCACCCAACAAGGACCAGCAATGTACTTGTATTTCACCGGACTTTGAGTGGTTATACCAGGATGATAAATCTATACTGGACAAGGGTGCGTTTCCCTAGGCACTATCTGGCCAATTGATTAATCTAAAATATATAACCTTTATTCAAATATATAAAAAAATGTATGCTCAGCTGTAATTAATGCTTATTGGAGTGGAATGTACTGTGCACAATATGACTGGATACTATTGCAATTATTTACCTTACATCCAAATGGTTAATAACACCAGACCAAATCATATCCCATACCGTTTTAGATGAAGTGATGGCATACAAAGAGGCACTGTAGTTTGATCATAAGCCTATCAGCTTGAATATATAATCTCTGTTAAGGAAATGGAGTTACTCCATGGACAAAACTAACTAGATAGTACAATCTATCTGGCTACAGATATGTAATACGGGTACACTCATTCACGGGCTTAAATGTCAGCCTCTCGTGGATAAGCTCCTTACATCACCATATCCAGACAAAAATACCTCACTGACCTGAGGAATGCAAATGATGCACTGTTAAACGCAGTTCAGACCTCTCAAAAAAAAAAGGGGGGGGGGGGGAGAGGAGTGAATACCATTAGCATTCAAAAAGTGCTCCCAAAGAAAAAAAGAAACATGTTTTGTTCCAGAAAACAGTGCTTCGTCAGGAGTATAAAGAATTAAAATAGGTCATAGTGGCTGGAAGTTGTGCTTAGCTGCACCTGGTGACAAAATGGCACCTATCATTTGTTTCACCTCTATATATAGACATGGCCATCAAAATAGCCCCCGCACATGCTCAGTTCCTCAACAGACACCATCTTGTGGACAAAAAACTGCACATGCTCAGTACCTCAACAGACGCCATCTTGTGGACAAAAAACAACACCACAGCAGCACATCAGTCCACAACCTAATAGACACTGCTGGTGTTCTCAAACACTGTTAATGCCCCACTAATTGAGACCAAAATTACAGTTCATACCATTATATAGCATTTATGGAGCAAAATCAAAACAAAAAGCACAGAATCCCTAATGACACACAAAAGAAAGGAAGGTATATCCTTCATTTAAACCATAAGATGCCCTTGAGCCTAAATGGAAAATTATTTTATTTATTTCAGGTACTTATATAGCGCCGTCAATTTGCGCAGCGCTTTACATATATATATTGTACATTCACATCAGTCCCTAACCCTCAGGGGGCATACAATCTAAGGTCCTAACTCACATTCATATACATACTAGGGCCAATTTAGACAGGAGCCAATTCACCTACCAGCATGTCTTTGGAGTGTGGGAGGAAATCGGAGTACCCGGAGGAAACGCACGCAGGCACAGAGAGAACATGCAGACTCCAGGCAGGTGGTGCTGTGGATGGGATTCGAACCAACGACCCTAGTACTGCCAGGCAGAAGTGCTAACCATTTAGCCACTGTGCTGCCTATAAAATCCATTTTGCTTCATGGAATTTCTCTATATGCCATGGGTATATGTGGAATTACTCCCCAAAATACATTTTGCTATTTCTCCCGAGTATGTGGATACCACATGTGAGAGACTTTTTGGCAGTCTAGCCAAGTACAGGAAAATCCAATAAGCACCTTCAGGCTTTAAAAGGGCTTTATTTCCTCATTACACTTCCTGACTACCTATCATAGTTTTGGAGGCCCTGAAATGCCAGGATAGCACCAATCCCACAAATGACCCCGTTTTGGAAAGTAGACACCCCAAGGAATTTGATAGGAAGCATGGTGAGTATTTTGCAGATCTCGCTTGTTGCCACAAGTTTTTGGAAAATGAAGAAAGAAAACAAAAACATATTTTTTCTTTTCTATTTTTATATTTCATAACCTTGTTGGAAAAAGTGAGAACTGAAAAATACTCACCATGCCTCTTTTTAAATTCCCTGGGGTATCTACTTTCCAAAAAGGGGTCATTTGGGGGGGTGCTATCCTGACATTTCAGGGCCTCCAAAACTGTGATAGGTAGTGAGGATGTGAAATGAAGAAGTTACACACCTTCAGGCTTTCAAAGTGGTCATTGGATTTCAGGCTCCTGTATGTAGCTAGGCTTCGAAAAAGTCTCACACATGGCTTCTGTGAGAAATATATAATTTATGTGACAATTTTGTGTAAAAAAAAAAAAAAAAAATGTTTTTGTCATATTCCAAAAACTTGTGGAAAAAAAATAAATCTTTCATGGACTCAATATGCCTCTCAGCATATAGGTTAGGGTGTGTACTTTCCGAAAAGGGGTCATTTGTGGGTGTTTGTACTGTCCTGCACAAATGTGACAGGCAGTCAGAAAGTAAAAGCTGTGTAAATTCCATTGTCTACCATAGTTTGTAGACGCTATAACTTTCGCACAAAACCAATCAATATACACTTATTGGGATTTTTTTTACCAAAAAAAAAGTAGCAGAATACATTGTGGGCTAAACTTATAACTCTTCTCCATCTACACCTCCTCCCTTGGCCAACTCATACACTCTCACGACTTCAACTACCACCTCTATGCCGACGACACACAAATCTATCTCTCAACCCCCCACCTCACCCCCTTGGTCTCAGCCCGAATCACACACCTACTGAGCGACATATCAGACTGGATGTCGCTCCACTTCCTTAAATTGAACCTCTCCAAAACCGAGTTTCTTGTCTTCCCCCCAGACCGGACACCACCCCCCATTGATTTCTCCGTCACATCCAACAATGCTACCATCAAACCCGCCCTGCAGGCCAGAGTACTGGGTGTCATTCTGGACTCCAACCTATCCTTCCAGCCCCAAGTCCAATCTTTAACAAACTCGTGCAGACTCCACCTCCACAACATCGCCAAAAACCGCACGTTCCTAACCCCAGAAACCACTAAACAGCTCATCCACTCCCTCATCATATCACGACTCGACTACTGCAACTCCCTCCTCACTGGCCTGCCTCGCCGCTGGCTATCCCCTCTTCAGTCCATCCTGAACACGGCTGCCAGACTCATTCACCTTTCCAACCGCTCTGTCTCCGCCACCCCCCTCTGCCAATCCCTCCACTGGCTTCCGATTGCGCAACGGATCAAATTCAAAATCCTAACGCTGACGTACAAAGCTGTCCACCATACTGCCCCGTACTACATCACTGACCTAATATCCAAGTACCGCCCAGCACGCACACTCCGCTCCTCACAAGACCTCCTTCTCTCTAGTTCCCTGGTCTCCTCCTCCCATGCCCGCCTCCAGGACTTCTCCAGGGTGTCACCCATCCTCTGGAACTCCCTGCCCCAACCCATCAGATTATCACCTACTCTCCTCTCCTTTAGGCGCACCCTGAAAACCCATCTCTTCAGGGAAGCCTACCCCACCCCCTGCTAACTTGCCGACCTCCTCCACTCTTCCTACCACTCCATCCCCCACAGCTATCTCCTCCTGTGCCACCACCCCCTCCCTCCTAGATTGTAAGCTCGAAAGAGCAGGGCCCTTGATCCCCTCATGTTTTGCATTGTATTGGTATTGTTCTGTCACATGTTCTGTCCCCCTTTGTAATGTACAGTGCTGAGCGAACTATTGGCGCTTTATAAATACTGTATAATAATAAAATAACAATAATAACGAACTTTGAGTTTTTTAGATATTTTTTATGTCAGAAATGAGAAAATAGTTTTTTTTTTCACAATGTTCAGTCTTTTTTTGTTTATAGCGTGAAAAATAAAGTGAACAGGTGATCAAATACCACCTAAAGAAAGAGCTATTTGTGTGAAAGAAAGGACATACATTTTGTTTGGGTGCAGCATTGACCGCGCAATTACCAGTTGAAATAGTGCAGTATAGCAAAAAGAGGCCTGGTCATTAAGGGGGGGGGGGGTAAATCCTCAGGAGGGCAAGTGGTTAATCAGCCCCAGAACCTGTGTAATTAATGTGTTCAGTTTTAAAGGGATGAGGTGGCAACCCTAGCCGTGGTATGAATATGCCTTTACAACATATTGCTGCTCTTTCATGTGGCAAACTGCTGCTGAATAACATTCATACAAGCGCAGTAACAGTATATTCATGAATAATACCTGATTATGATCGGGTAAAAGAAAGTCTAAATTAAAATAGATGCAACTTTCACACTGTAACCTAGAGACCACACTTTACTTACATATAAACAGGAAATGAGCGCTGACAGCCAAAACGAGGCATGACACGCACATTATTCCGATATCGTTCCCTTTAAATCGGACCTGTACAGCTAATAGTTGTAACGCTGGACGTCTTCTTTTAATTGGTGGCGAGTACAGGAAACAGCCATGTTTTCGGAGACCAATCTCCATAGCCGGACAGGGAGCTGCAGCTAAGAGAATGGCTTCCTGTGTGGAGACATTAGGGAAGTAGCTGAAATAGGCGGGGTATATGTCACTGGTCTGGATCTGGGGCTGCAGCGCTGGGGAAGCCGGTGACTTGGAGGGGTTTGTGGATTACAGGGACTGACTAGTAGTTCTTAGTATTGTCCATTATGTGAACCGCTCTGTTATATGTAACAGTGCTGTGTATACGGACCTCTCCATTAACCCGAACCTTTCCTATTGGTTTGTCACTGCTTTTCATTGAGCAAGAATGCTGAACGTTCCTTCACCGTCA